TAGCTATTGAAGGCATTCTCATTACTCTGCTCCTTCACCACCTGAACAGTTCCACTGTATGTGTGGTGTGCGGTGCCGTGCCGTGTGTGATTTTCACGCTGCTTTGTGTTGAACCAGACCACCTGCTGGGTCATGAAAGTCTCACGGAAATGAAAGAATATGCTCTCACGCTTAGTCTTATCAGACTGTGCTTTCATACAAGAGCCAATGCTGATAGTGTTCATAAAAACACAGTTACATTTGTAGCGAACTGTATCAGTAGCCTCAACAAAGAGGTTGTTTAAAAGCCTCTTTATAGTATTGTTATAGGCTTTTTAGATGCAAAGCTCCTCATGGACCTCGCTTTAAACTCGGTTAGCTGGCTCATGTTCATACACCCCTGCCACCTCTCGGTAAAATGTTATTGGTTGGAAAATACATGCTGTTGAAAGACTTTAATGATTTTTTTTTTATGAACGTTATAATCCTCAATGGTAAAATATTATTTCTGCACCCCTACCACTATTCTCTTTTTAGACTCTCCCTTGTGAGTCTTTGTGATTAATACAGTTGCACTGCGGCTACCATGCGCAGTGTCTCATGTTTTCTTCAGTGCTAAATGACTGTTCAACAAAGCAAGTATTTGGTCACAGGTTTAGCAAATATAAACCCTACTTATTCTTGCTGTATATTCAGAAATAAAAGGCAGTGGGTCCTGTTTTCCTAAAGCAACGCACAGCATTCTGTGCCTTTCCTGCTCCATCTTCATGCCCACACATCCATCCATATGTGTCCACAAAGGGTTAGATTAGGTAGAATAGAAAAAGGAAGGTGTGGTTATTAAAATCCTGAACAAATTAACGTATGCTTTCATTTCAACATTGAACGAAGTAGGGAAAGCCACTGTGAACACTACACAGCAAAGGAGACTGAGCCGCACTTTGCGAGGTGCAAGCCCAGCCAGACATGAGCAAATATTTGCCTCATTCTCATCGCAATAATGTATTCCATTACTCTGTTAAACTACAGCAAATTGGGTGGAGACGGACTATCCACCAGAAATGAATAGTCAAAATCGAGTTTGTGTGATGCAGTAAAAGACAGTAGAAGTAGCCAGTCTGTCTTAAATTGTTTTATGCAACTCAGAAACACAATGAATCATGAGGTTTGCATACTGTGAGGTTTACACTTCTTATACCCCCTCCTTATATACATATAAGCTAGATAGGGCTCATTCCATATAAGCTTTCATATAAGCTGAAACATAACTGTCTGTAAACATATCCATCTACTAACATAGTCATTTTGTTTTCACTTTTAGGTGGAATTGCCAAATTATGCAATTATTGCACTGGGTTTAGACTTTGTGCTGAGCTTATATGTTCTCCACAGGGTTGAAATTGTAAAGTTCCACTAGTGTTTCACTTAATTAAATCATTGAGATTGAGTGGTTTGATGTGAATTGGATCATAGTGGAGAAGCATACAGAGTTGGATCTCTTTACAGTGTTAAAGATAGGAACCAGGGCTTGACAGTGCAAACATAACTATTTTATTTACTATCCAAAATGACTAGTGAACCTACAGGTCTTCTCAGTTTTATGAATAATGTTGATAATGGTAAAATAAAGGTAAATTGGTCAGTTTGCCTTACAAGGCCCTGCCATGAATAGGTCTTAAAAATGTTTTAGGCCAAACTCTTATCTCAACACTATCATAAAACAACATCTTGTTTTTGTAACTACTTCATGTAATATGCATTTAATGTTTTGGATGTCTGCAATGAACAATTCTGACTCCATGAGATTGTCTAGAATGAAGCATTTCACATCACAGCAGTCCGAATGACTTTGTTTACATCTTAAAAGTTGAATTGTGCAAAAAATGTCCACAAAAATGCACCCTAACACCCCGCCTAACGCGCCATCCTTTACACAAATTCAGTTTTGGTGCACTAACCCCTCTGTCCTTGCTCACTTTGCATTACCCAAATTACTGAAATGCAATATCCTGTAGCAACAATGAATCCCAGTATATTGCAGTGACAGTCTTTGCGCACCCATGAAAATGGGGCCCTCTGTCTTCATCAAAGCACAAACCACTATATGTATATTTATTACTAGATCATGTGGCCTGTAGAATCACAGTTCCACCACAGACATTTTGCCTCTGTTTATTTTGAGTCTGTTTGATGCCATTGAGAATTCTATGGCCCACATAAGTGTTACTATTGAGCCAGTAGAGTAGACTGTCTTGTTAACAAATAATTTCTTGCCTGCGTGAAGCTGAAATATCACACCCTTTTGCGTTAAATCCACAATCGGAATTTGACCTTTCCTTTTATCACGCTGTGGGTCTGTATAGTCTAGTTCCTGGGCTTCATCATATTAATAGGTGAAGAGTTGGCATTTGGTCAAATGCCTGGCGAAGCTGCCCTTTGATAAAGCTATGGCTGTGTTTACCACCCAGTTTCATGTTAGGAGATAAAAGGCAGCAACTGACCTTAGGCAATGTATCAGGCAGGCAGGGGCTTCATCATTAAGAGAGATGCAGCAATAAACAGGAATTAGTCTAATCTGGTTGATGATGAATGGTGTGTGTTAACCCAGCACGTTGCCAGCAATGGGTGGACACCAGAAACTAATCTATTTACAGTGACTGGCCTAGAGTCAAGCACGCTGGCCTTGTGCTCTCTCAGAGTCCAATGTGGACCCCCAGTCAGACATGCACTCTAACCCCAGCAGGGTACGCTGCATAACTAGAGCTTAACACAGTGTTTCTCAGCCCCAGTGCTGGGGGCATGTGCGGTACACAGTGTAGTGTCGCTCCCCTGCTCTAAACGCCTAATTCAACTCATTCACTTTTATCGTAAAGCCTTTAATGTGATTTTGCCATCACAAGGACCATTCGGACAAGATTAGCGTGCTCGGCGAGGTGGGTAGTGTAATTTTACCACAGGACATCTGTAATGTTTATGTCTGATTCACAAAGGACACATAATCCCAGCATAAATCACAGATACGAGTAGCTACACAAAAAAAGCTTCCACATGCCAATTCTTCAGCTGCTCGCAAGTGGAAAACATTTAATTTAACCATAATTTAATTTCCCCTAACCTTGTTGTCATAGCTGTCTAGAATAGATACACTGTCTCATTAGCTTGGTAATTCACAACTAACATTCAACATCAGCACATAAAATCAAATTTCTTTTTTACGTTTTAATATTGCAAGTCGTACACTCAAGTTGCATATCAGTTTGATTTAAATATGTACACAAGTAAATACTTCAATGACTGCCTTCAAATTTAAGAAAAGATGTGAAAACACCTTTTAAATGTTCCCTCAAAGGCACAACATGGTCTTCAGGTCCAACTGTGTACCTTAAATGAGTTTCAATGGTGTACTTCATTCACTTTATCAGGTGAAGGGGGCATTTTTTCTTTCTTTGTTTTGTTTTTTTCATAAACAAGGCAGGGCGTATAGAGTCAGCATAACTAAAAAATATCACTACAATGGAATATGGTATGATAGCGTTCTTTACCTAAAGATTGTGTCAGTGACAGTGTTCGTGCCATTAAAGGCCCTGTTTTTCTGAGAGTATAAAATGTTGTATGTTTACTGATGCAGGAGTCCATCAAAATACTAATATGGAGGATTTGTACAGGACTAAAATAACTGAGAAACACTGATAAACAATAATTACATCACCGCACCTTTCCATCCATGTAAAACGAATGCCATTCGAATAGTACTTAAGCTTTCTTTAATATGATGTGTACACTGGAACAAAAAGTCGTTCTTCAGGTCCCATGGCGCAACACTCAACAGCAGGACCTTACACAGGACTACATAAAGTGTGGATACATACAAGTGATACAAGTGATAAACAAGTGCAGAATATACAGTAAATATGCAGAACAATAAATACACAAGACAATGACAAAGACACAAAGACAATTAGCAGAACAGTAAACATACATGACAGATGCCCATGGCACTAGCTATACAGACTAAATATTAAAAATAAAGAATTAAGAATAAAGAATTTAAAGTGCAGTTGTGCAGTGATGGTTTAGGGGTGGATGATCAGTCTGATCATTGTTACATTCTGTAATTACACAAATAAAACACGAACAAAAACCGTACTGTCACCATACTGGATTATCCTGTTTTACCATATACTCTCATAAGAAGACTCCTGGGAGACTCCTGTACTGCACATGTGATTGTTTCAAAGTTAATTATAAAGCTCTCCAGGAGTTAAATCAGGTGTTAAAGGAGAGACGGCTCTTAACACTTCAGTGTGGAGGTCCCTCAGGACCATAACTGGCAACCGCTGCCTTATTGTATCACACTACAGTCAGCTCATTAATCTAGATGCAGCATCTAGCTATGTTCCTGCAAAGCATAATATATCTGCTTTAAAAAGCATGGCAGCAGGCCAGTTTTACATGTGCAGCCTTGTATATTTCTACGAACACATATACACACAACCGTGACACACTCTACGCTCATTTGATTACTCACCTCCAGCCTGGTAGTCTCCGCTAATTCTGTTTCTCTGAATTAAAATTCAGGATTTTGGCTTTGTTAGCGCAGTGAACCTTGAGGGGTTAGTAAACATGTACCAAATTAGGGTAAACTAGGGAGCCTGCACTGGATTGTTAAGCAGTCATTTTAATGTCCTCTTTCTCTGTTTCTTGATGCTTGTTTTGTTTTCATGTGTTATGATCTGAAAGAAAAGACTAATCAGTCTAATAAAGGTTTTCAAGGCTTTGGTTAATTAACTTATCCTTTCTGAATGTTTTCATATCACTTGTGTTTGTTTTGCCTTTTTTTAATGAATTGATTTTTTTTTTTTAATTGTTATCTCATTCTTGTTTGACACATAGTCAATAACAGACCTGCTGCAGTCATTTCAAATGGATACAGAGAGGGTTGCTTTTTTAATAACTGGACAAAGAGAAGTCCTGAACTTGAAGTTGTAAATAAATTCCCTCCATCTGCTCATGTTTCACAGACCTGCCGCCTCCGGCCACACGGGAGAGACCCCCTGGATGTAAGACGGTGTTTGTGGGGGGTTTGCCTGAGAATGCCACTGAGCAACTCATCATGGAGGTGTTCGAGCAGTGTGGCGCTATCAGCGCCATCCGCATGAGCAAGAAAAACTTCTGCCACATCCGCTTTGCTGAGGAACACACCGTCGACAAGGCCCTCTTCCTGTCTGGTACGTATTCAAGAAAGCCTTCTCCTGTTTCGCACCCACTAATTTTCTTGGTCTATTAGTGTTTTACGCCATATTTTTCTCATTTACAAACAGAAATAACCCCACTCTCTCGGTGCAAAGTGCAGAGTGCTGTCTTATTCTTGGATTAAAGTCATGCTGTAGAAGGGGATTCCATATGCAATAGGGCCCAAACCATATGAATTTTGTGCAAGGTTCCAATACTGATTTCTGGGGGATGAAAATAAACAATATCAGCCAATATAAATTTCAACAGTTTTATTTAAATGGCACCTTTTATAAACTCAAGGTTCCCTGAACATTTAAGGTTTTCTGTACAAAGCAAATCCATCCAATACATTGCTGGGCTGAAGTAGTGAGTGGCTGATATTGGGCTCCCCAGTGGCACATTTGTCTAAGGTTTTGCTCTGTTGTCAGGAAACCTAGGTTGCCAATATTGGCCACTATCATAACCAATTTTATGAATAATTGTTATTATTTTTATTGTTTGATTATTATTATTATTGTTGTTGTTGTTTTAAAACCAGCAGCGACTAGACAAGTCCCACAAACAACACCAATATTTATTATTTTGTTACTCTTTAATTCTAATGCATTTTGGCCTTTGACACTAACATGACTTGCGTTCATACCCTGGTGATGGAAAATAATGCTTGTTTTTCCAAAATGACACCTTTACCCTAGTATGTAAATGTGAATAGGAGGAGAAAACATTACGTCCTGCCACTGGTGCCATGTCCTTTACATAAGTGCAATTTAGAATAATTTCGTTTAACCTTTTATCTAATGGAAATTGGGCCAGTACGTCTGTAAGCCCTTCACTCTGCTTGACTTGATGGATTGATGGTGCTTTAATGAGGGAGGAGGGACTTGGTGCTATCCTTCTGGAGAGCTTCGGAGAGGGCGGAGGCTGACACTCGCGCCCGTCCAAGAGCCCCTGACACCGGAGGTCAACGAGCAGACGGGCACGCGTGCACACTGCAATAGATTTCAGCCCCATGGCGCTGCATACAAATCAGCCTGCAAATCGCAAATGCTGCATGACCCACACTAGCCCAGTGCTGTTATCCTGACTTATCTCCTCTTCCAAGTCTCTGGTCTGTGGTCACATCTCTTTGTATGCAAACTTCGGTACATATATCCCGGGCTCATGAAGCGCATGCCGCTCCAATAATACCCGCTGCATTATTTACACTTCTCTGAGTGTTGCAGTCTCAGTGGAGAGGTGGTGAGCGAGCGCTTCTCTTTTGTGAGATTGGAGCCGCGCCCCATATATTGTGTGGGCCTCCTGACGGAGCTCTGCAGGCCTTTCCATAAATAATGCCGCTCATTTCTAACGCAGAACACACCGTATAAAATATTTAGTGACGTCTGGGGGCTATAAAGCAGAAAGGGAGAGGTGGAAGTAAACTGCAAAAGCCCCGACTCCTTTCCGGTGGCACGGCCAATCTGTGACCACGCTCTATCTCACCAGATACCCTCTGCATGAAAGATCTCTTTCTCCACTCCAGGTGCACCGGGCTCATAAACAAATGCATAATTCACTGTCGTCTTCCATGTGCACCGTTCAGCCTCTTGTCTGTTTCGGTTTTCTTCTTGCTATCCTATGTTCTGAGTAAACACAATGAGAAAGTAGCACTGTATGTGTCTGTAGATCTTTTTTTTCATGGACAGCTCTGCCCTTGACTGCTCATCTGCCTCTTGGTGCTCTTGGTCCTCCCCCGTGCCCTGACTTTTTCCCCTTGAGTGCATTTCCTGTGCGTTTTCTTATTTCACTTGCAATTAGCAAATTAGCATGTGTTCACTTCAGAACTGCAAACACAGATTAAAAGTAATGAGCATACACCAGAGGGGAGGAAAGCGCGCATGTGTAGAGTCTGGAGGCGGGAGCAGAGAGTTTATGTGAATGTGTGGTGTTTGGCCATTGTCACCACTGTGGAGCCTTGGATATGAATCACTATTCAGAGCAGCGCGGCTCTTTTTTCACCATAGCCTGAAGGTGCAGCTGTAGCCGAGTGAAAAGCAGATTAAAAATCAGCATGTATTTATAGCACGGAGGAGACAGCCGGACGGACATAGCTTTTCCCCCATCCAGATGCTCTTAGGAATAAATGCACAGGTGTTAGATAAGACGCATTTGTTTGTTTGTTTGTTTGTTTCTCAATTCAGCCTGAACAGGCCGGACGTTCCTAAGAAATGCTCGAGCTCATCACATTATGCTTTCTCAACCGAAAGAGAAAGTTTAGCACTTTAGTTTCACTGTGCCAAATTAATTTGTCACTGGCTTGTCGCTTTGCTCTTTAGATTTTATGTTAGTTTTTTTTTCACTGATTATGAAATTTTGTTGGTGTAATTGGCTTCCTGGTATCTTTATCTGAGAAGTAAGAATCCAGTTTCCTTTTACATATGAGTTTCAACTCTGTTGACCCCCCCTAAAACCCTAAGGGTCTGTTTGTGGCCCACACTTTAATTATTCCTTTTAGGCTTGCAAGCCAGGCTTCTGCCTTTTGTCTTGTGAGTGTCTTGTGAGTTTTGTCCCGTAACAAGGTGAAGAACTGCCTTCTTTGACAGGAGTGGGCCATTTGACTGACGTGCAAAATAGCCAGCCACAGACCAGTGTTTTTGTGTGGCGTAGAGGGCAGATTTTCATAACAGGGCTACAAGAAAAACAAACCGGTGGAAAATATATTGGTATGCTTTGGTAAACACGTTACTACACTACTTATAACTTCAGCATAGATAGGTGGGGCTAAAATGCTGTAAACTGTCCTGGAATTGTTGCACTTATGGTATTGGTTGAAACCTGTTAAAAGAGGATACGCCTGGTCCGATTTCTGTCACGAAAATAGATGTTTTCACCTTTGCCCTCACAAACCTCCCCTTCTCTTCTGTCCAGGATATAGGATCAGGCTCGGCTCCAGCACAGATAAGAAGGATACGGGGCGACTGCATGTGGACTACGCCCAGGCCAGAGACGACCTGTATGAGTGGGAGTGCAAACAGCGAATGCTGGCTCGTGAGGAGAGGCACCGGCGCAGGATCGAGGAGGACCGCCTTCGCCCCCCATCACCACCCCCCATAGTTCACTACTCAGAGCACGAATGCAGCCAGCTCGGAGAAAAGATCAAAGGTGAGACCCTCATCCTTTTCATGTCTCCGTGGAATGCTGTGGGATTCTTAGTTGTATATACTTTTTCCTTGTTTGTTTAATTGTTATTTCATGTCTTGCACACTTTCCTGAAGCATTTGCAGAGATTTATTTAGAGGGTATGTTACAGTTGGCTGAGTATAAATGCTGTTTGTGTCTTTGAGTTTGAAGCACCATGCTGCTAAATAGAAAGCGCCGTCTGTTGTAGTGTCGAAATGACAACCCACTGTCTGTGGAGACGGAATGAAAGAGAACAGGACAGGAAGCAAAAGATTTTGCATTGGAGTAATTTAAGTTTGGAGATGAAGGTACAAGAAAAATGATGCTTTGCCCAGCAAATTATGTTATTTTTCTGGTCACACATAATACAGTTTAGCTAATAACAGCTTATCACTGTGTGCTGGTAGAAACGTTCACCCCTTTTCTCTTACAGTGCGTAGAACAACATTGTTTATTTAGTCATTGCGTCTCTTTAAACCTTTTTCAGTACTGCCACCTTGCCAAATCTCTAACCTGCTATCTCACACTTAGCTGTGACATTTCAATTGCCCTGGTAATGAATCTTGGCCACTTCTCATTCACTGGGGTTCTGGAGGGATAATTTGAAAATGGCTTGCTTGCACCCATTTTTGAAATGTCTTTGATACAGTGAGTTTTTTCTTTCCTTTTATTCAAGCTCAAGCTTTGTTTATGGCTGCTGAAAGAAATAACCTGCTGCATAACAATGTTTCAGTTGTTGTGGGTGAACACTGCCACTGCCAATATATTGGCAGGTGTATTTCATTATAAGATCATGATGATCAACAACAGGCTAGCATTATATTCTTCCACTAGTTTCAATACAAAAAAAGGATTTGCTTATTGGTCCAGTATTAGCCAGGCAGCTCATTACCCAGCATGCTTGTAAAAATAAATCATTCTATTAATATTGACTGCAGCCACAGGAATTCATCTTTATGACACATTGATTCAATCTGGAAGGTGGTGATGGATTATTAATGCAAATCATTAGACAGAGCTTTGTGACTCTCAGTGGTCAGGACAGACGTAAATAAATCAAGATGCTCCTGCAGTGCAATCTCACTCAAGTCGTTTGAGCAACACCTCGTTCCACTGTGAAAGCAGACTGCTCTTCACTCAGCCTCTCTTTGTAGTGTGTGTGTGAGAGAGAGTATTTGCATTTGTTAATGAGCACTTACATTGATATTTGTGCTCACTTGCATTTGTAGGGGTGTGTATGAAAATATTCACATAAGTGTGTGCATGCTTGAACTGATACGCCTGCAAGTGTGCATTCAATTGTGTGCACTAGTCCTGTCACAATCGTGAAATTTTAGCTAACAATTCATTGCCTTAAAAATAATTCAATCATGAGTTTAGTTGTCCTTTTTTGTTCATCATATGCTAAGATTCAAGTAAAGGCCTGAGGCAGCCAAACTGACTGGTTAGCGATCTGGCTGTCGATGCCTAATAGCTACCAACTGACGACAGACACAGCTCAATCTCAAATAAACAAACATTACTCACCACTGCACTCTGTGTTACAGCACCAGTCCGAATGTTGTGATTTTGTTCTGTTGTTTTCATAAGAGTTATGACACATTTCAGTGAATGTGTTTGTGTAATAATTGTGACAGGCTTGTAGGAACATTTGCGAAGTGTTGACTACTTTTATACCAATCATGATAGCATCACTTGCTACCCATTCACTTGTTTACCTGTGGAAAGTTCCAGAACAGGTGTTTTTGATCATTCCACAATCTTCCCAGGCTTATATTGCCTTGTAGTCCAAACTTTTTTTGGAATGAGTTGCAGCCATTCATTTGGAATTAGCGTGTATTTGAAAAAATCTATAAAGCTGATTAGGTGAAATAATATCTCTTACTTGTGCTGTTTTTAGTTAAATACCTGTAAACAAATACCTGTTTACAAACTACTGCTTTCTACTTTTATTTGTAATTTAAATACTATCCCAACATTTTTGGAATTGGATTTGCATGTGCATGTTTGGGTTGGTGTGTGAGGAAGTGCTTGCTTGCGTTGGTATTTGTAGTGTATGTGTATATGTGTGTAAGACCATGTGTGCTTGCATGGGAATGTATGTGTGTGTGCTTGCATTTGTGCACATGTAGGAGGGTGCATTGTTTGCGTGAGCTGTGGGGGTTGGGGGTGACGAGAGGATTAGGACAACAAGGATGAAGTGATTCTTATTGTGTCATTCACAACAGCAATCAATATCTCTGTTGTCTCTCTGCATCACCTTATCTGCCTGCACAGCCCGAGCCAGAATTATGTTAAACAGCCCGCAGGCCTCCTGAAGCCGAGCAGAAACACGCTCCGCAGCTCTGCGCCTCGGAACAAAGATGCGTCTTCTGTCGTAACTGCCTTTTTGAATAGAGACAGCAAAAGGCGACACTAAAGCCCTGAGCAGAATCTTAATGCCCTTCATTACAATGACTTTCCCCCTCTCACTTCACTCCCACCCACAAGCTCTGGGCCAAGGCTTTGTAGTGGCCTTTAGGGAGCAGCTTGGCTAGCATTAAAAACCTGAGCCAACTTCAATTGCAACGCACCTGCAAGAGCTGCTGGATGTGCCGGACTAGCAGTAGTGAAAGTCCCAAGCTGGGTAATATGCAGCAGCTCTTTTAGAGATTTTTAAAGAAGGTTTCAGCACTGAAGCAGTGAGCAGTTTTGTGCCAGATTGGCCCACACACATAAAAAAAAGATGGTTCTTAATGGGGTCTTTACTAAAGGCAACGGTTCTATTTAGAACCATGAGTTCTAATATAGAACCAATTCATGCTTAAATGTTTTTGCATAGTGTAATTGTTCTTCAGATTGATGGAGAATGTGTTGTTTATGGTTCTATAGAGAACAGTTTTGAAAAGGGCTCTATATAACGCCAAAAAGGGTTCTGCTATTGTTATGATGTCAAGGCTGTAACAATAGAAGAACCCTTTTTGTTGCCGTATAGAACCATTTTCAGAAAGGTTCTCTGTAGAGCCATATACAACACATTCTCCATCAATCTGAAGAACCATTTCACATGTTTAATGCTAAGTATTTCTTGTGGATCATGTAAGCTACAGTGGTGCTTGGAAGTTTGTGAACCCTTTAGAATTGTCTATATTTCTGCATGAATTTGACCTAAAACTTCATCAGATTTTCACACAAGTCCTAATAGTAGACAAAGAGAACCAAATTAAACAGATGAAATATTAAACAAAATATTAGACGTGCTCATTTATTTATGGCGGAAAATGATCCAGTATCACATATTTGTGAACCTTTGCTTTCAGTATCTGGTGCGAGCCCCTGTGCAGCAATAACTGAAGCTAAATGTTTCTGGTAACTGTTGAGTAGTCCTTCATATCAGCTTGGTGGAATTTTAGCCCATTCTTCCATACAAAACAGCTTCAACTCTGTTATGTTGGTGGGTTTTCTCCAATGAACTGATTGCTTCAGGTCCTTTCACAACATTTCTAAAGGATTAAGGTCAGGACTTTGACTTGGCCATTCCAAAACATTAGCTTTATTCTTCTTTAACCATTCTTTCGTAGAACAACTTGTGTGTTTAGGGTCGTTGTCTTGATTCATGACCCATGTTCTCTTGAGCTTCAGCTCACAGACAGATGTCTTGACATTTTCCTTTAGAATTTGCTGGTGTATTTCAGAGTTCATTGTTTCATCAATGATGGCAAGCCATCGCGGCCCAGATGCAGCAAAATAGGTCCAAACCATGACACTACCACCACCGTGTTTCACAAGGATAAGGTTTTGATGCTGGAATGCGGTGTTTTCCTTTCTCCAAACATATACTTCTCATTTACATCAAAAAGATCTATTTTGGTCCCACCCATCTACAAAACATTGTTCCAGTAGCCTTCTGGCTTGTCCATATGATCTTTAGCAAACTGCAGACAATGTTCTTTCTGGAGAACAGAGGCTTTCTCCTTGCACACCATTATTGTTCAGTGTTCTCCTGATGGTGGATTCATGAACATTAACATTAGCCGCTGTGAGACAGGCCTTTAGTTGCTTAGAAATTACCTGGGTTCCTTTGTGACCTCACGGACTATTACACACCTTGCTCTTGGTGTGATCTTTGTTGGTCGACCACTCCTGGGGAGAGTAACGATAGGCTTGAATTTCCTCCATTTGTACAGAAACTATCTGACTGTGGATTAGAGGAGTCCAAACCCTTTAGAGATGGTTTTACACACTTTTCCAGCTTGATCAGTACCAACAACACTTCTTCTGAGGTCCTCAGAAATCTCCTCTGTTCATGCCATGATACACTTCCACAAATGTGTTGTGAAAATCAGACTGTGACAGATCCCTGTTCTTTAAATAAAACAGGGTGGTCACTCACACCTGACTGCTATTGCATTGATTAAAAACACCGGACTCTAATTTCACCTTCAAATTATCTGCTAATCCTAAAGGTTCACATACTTTTGCCACTCCCAGATATGTAATATTGTATCATTTTCCTCAATAAATAAAAGACCTTTCACTAAAAAAGTGAAAATCTGATGAAGTTTTAGTTAAAATTTATGCAGAAATATAGAAAATTCTAAAGGGTTCACAAACTTTCAAGCACCACTGTATGTTTTCTCATCATCAAGCAGTTTAACAAATTTAAATGGTAAGATTAATAATTGTGAACAAATTGATGTTCTCTGAAGTCCTGAAACATTCGGTTCACTGCCGTACGCTGTAATCCTAGAACCTTTACACTACGCTAAATCATCAGAACCGGGCAAGCGTCACAACCGCTTGGCCCGGAAAACCCTCAGAAACTATAGCAGCCCAGTAAAACGTGTCCCATTTTGAAAGCCACATTAACGTCTGGTAGCTTAATGAAAGCCTAATTGTTTTAGAGCTACATTAACATCTCTGCTTTCTCTCTGCCTGAATGGTAAATACATTGAGATGTGGACCTTTGTATTTTGCTGCTCGTTGCTCTTTTTTTTTTCAGCAGTTCTGCGCACTCTAGACATAACACACAGAATGTATTTATCCATTGGCACTCTAATTGGTATCAGAATTTGGCTAACTGTGCCCAAAATACATCTTGGAAATCCTCCTTCCTTCTGTGATGTTTTCCTTCCTCTAAGCCCTCCTGTTTGCTCGCGTGTCCCTGTAGTTTGTCTTGGCCCAATAAACATGTCCCGCTAATGTGCTTCGACACTGTTGGGTCTAAGATGAGACGCATTCCTCCCTGATACCAAGCTCTACTCCCTCCCCACCATCTGTCTATGTCTCTCTATCTCTCTCTCTCTCTCTCTCTCTCTCTCTCTCCTGTCTTTCTCTTGTCTCTTTCTCTCCTTTCTTTGTTTCTTTCTCCTTTTTTCTATCTTTTTTCTGTCTTGTCTCTGTCTGCCTGTCTCTCCTTTTTCTTTTATTATTTCTTTCTCCGTTTTTCGCTCTTCCATTTTCCTCTGTCTCTCTTCTTCCTCTCTTCTCTTTTTGTTTTTGCTGTCCTCTTTCTTTTTTCTTTCTTTCTTACTTTCTTTCTGTCTTTCTTTCTTTCTTTCTACCGATCTCTTCCATCTACCTCTCATTTCTTCCTTTCTTGTTTCTGTCTCTCTTTCTATCTCTATCCCTCCCTCTCTCCTTTGTATCTATCTGCCTCACTTTCTTTTCTCACTCTCCTCTTTTTTCCTATTTTTTTACATTATTTTTGTAATCTTTATCTCTGCTTCTTTCTCTTCTCTCTCTTCCTTATCCCTTCCCTCTCTGTCTTTGTTTTCTCTCTCTCTCTCTCTCTCTCTCTCTCTCTCTCTCTCTCTCTCTCTCTCCTTCCTTCTCATATCCTCCTTATGCTCCTCCTCCTTTCAGACGACTCAAAGTTTCCTGAGGCGGTCCGTGTCCTGCTGACCTGGGTGGAGCGAGGGGAGGTGAACCGCCGAAACGCCAACAACTTCTACTCCATGATCCAGTCCTCAAACAGCCACATCCGCAGGCTGATGAACGAGAAGGCCGCTCATGAGAAGGAGATGGAGGAGGCCAAGGAGAAGTTCAAGAACGCCCTGGCTGGGATCCTAGTGCAATGTGAGTGGTGCCTCCTGAAATTATGTGTGGTTTTTACACAAAGCAAAGGAATGCATTCAGTTATCATGCGAGCTCTCGCTACACTTTCAGACATCTAACAGAATGCAGGGCTGCACAATGTGAACAGAAAACATCGCAATTACGTTGTTACATACTGCAGTTGTAACAGTATAATCGCTTTGCAGTGTGTTAAAAACACATTGGCAAATGCTTGATGTAGCTAACAGCTGGCCTGCTTTTTGTCATGTCAATGTCTTTGTTAATAGAAACACCCAAATAACATCTGTGATTGGTCAGGATGTTCACAGCAAACACTAAAGCACTGGCTGGTTGAGATCTCAGTTGAATTTTGAAGCCTTTTGCAATATTAGTGTTGTAAATGCCAATGTGCCGATAAAGATTTATTAAACAATGTATTGTGCAGCCCTAATAGATCGCGTAATTCACCAGTGCTTTAGACATGATTGATCCAGTGCCAAGAGCAAAGATTCATTTACACACACGCAGTGCGAGAGTCCATTTTCCCACAGTGTCTGGGGAAATGTAAGTATTTACTGTAGCATAAACTGATATTTAAAGAGTTGGACAAAGGCAGAGAGGATTGGATTTAGATTTGATTTCTTCATACTCTATTTCTCACTTAATATGATTGAAAACTTTGTGAGCACTGCTTACACATAATACATAAAACACAATAAAGATAGGACTGTACCAATATGTTGAACTAAACGACACAAGAAGTTCTAGTCATTGCGCTTGACCAAAATATAACATAGTAAGGATGCCTCCCAAGTTATTTTCCTCCAGCGTGGAAATGCTTGTAGGTGGTGTGGTGTGCTTGGCTTTCAAACCTAATGCCCTGGTGTTCTTGCTATGTTTTCTCTGCAAGCCTTCTTTCACAACTTTATAATGTTGTATACATCTGGACTGGGGTCAATTCATAACTTTTTCATAAAGTTCGAATCAAATGTTTAAATTTTTATTGAGAGTCAGACAGGAAACATTTTGAATTTGAGAGTGAAATAGTTCTCTTTATTCATTCAACACAGCAGTGAGCTGAGGAAAGATTTATATGTAGGAAATTTTAACCGTTTTCTTTCTGGAGTTACTGACTTGATGCATGGAATATGTTTTAATTACATTACTTAAAAAATTGCATATTGTCCGTTGAAGATGGTTTCCTTTGGTGTAATTCAGGCTGAAATTCAGATCCAAACTGCACTTTTCAATTCAAGTTTAAACTCAGTTTAATTCCCTAAACTGGAATTAAGTCACAATTCCCAGCTGGATTGAAATGAACCCCAGTCCAGGTATGTATCCTGATGATGATGATGTAATACGTGCTGTGGTGCAAGTGCAGTAAGGAGTGAGGAGGTAAGTGCTCCAGAGGCCTCTTCCCAGTCTTGAGCTGAATGCAGACACAGGTAGAGTATTCAGGCTGCATTAGCACACAGCAGCCGCATAGATCCAAACACTGATCACTAACTGGCATGAGTAGCTGACTCAGCATTTAGTAAGACCCCTCAGTCTGTGAGCAGTTTAAGACACCAAGTTTGCAATAGTCTCTGGACAGGACTCCTGATGAGGATGGGGTGACCATCCCTAGAATTAAAGTAAGTAACCCTCCAAAGGACAGAGGCTTCATTCAGTTGGGCTATGATGTGATTACTCTGATTACTGAAAGGACTATGGGTGGACACTTGATAAATATGGTACACTTCTGCAGGGAAGACCACCATGGCAACTTCTGTGTCAGTTATCTCTAAGCACTTGCACACTTACACACACACAAACATGCTGCTTTCTCCTCTTTGCACTCTGTCTCTCTTTCCAGCCCCTCAGTGCCAGCTGCTCAATACTGTGATTGATTACGTGTAAGTTGATCTTTAAGGAGTAATGGATATGGTCAGAGGTGCTTTGTCCTGCACATGAACAGCTGTACTGAACACTACCCTAAGACTGATTGGGTTAAACACCTCCCTTGTCGGCTTTGGCTTTGAAAGACACTAATATCTCCACCAGTCTGACTGTTGTATAGTGGTAAGTAGAGTTGCGAGGTATGCTGGGTGGTATGAAAGCAAATACCAGTAGGAAATTTCCCATTAAATAAGTTTTGTTTGCTTGCTTTTTTGTTTTTTAAACCCAGTTTTCTCTCAACTTAATCCTGCAAAGTTCCTTTCTGCTCGCTAGGTCTCCTTTTCTCACTCAATGCTACTAGTCTGGAAGGGTGAAAGTTAGCATGTGCCTCCTCCGAGCCACCACATCTTTTCAAATTACCGCAAACACAACAGTTTAATGCACTTGGAGGAGAATACTAACCCTCAGTTGTGTTATGTCAGCTAAAAGATGCCCGTGTCGGCTAGCATCACACTGAGTAATGGGAGGAGAGGTGATTGTACATCTAAAGTGAACATAGCCAGTTATGCTCTCTTTGGCTCCCAGCCATATAAGGATGTAGAATCGCCAGGGACTGAACCTGAAGCCTCCCCAAAATAAGGCCAACACTTGGACAGTTGGTTACTCAGGAGCCCAATTATGTTAGTTTTACCATACCCCATGGATAGCATGATGTGAAATGCCATGAACACCGTAATAAAAATGTTGAGGCCCAGTATAAGTTAAAGTGAACTTGAACAGCATAAATAATTCTTATAAGCACAACAAAAAGCATAACATACAATTTAAACGTTGCACCAACAATGTAAATAGTTGTCTTAACACAAAGAGCCCTGTCTACAGTACAAATTCAACACGAACATGAAACAGATTAAATCATTCTTATAAGCTTGATAAAAACATACCATGCGTTTAAAAGTCAGTGTGAATCAGAAATTACATTGCATTTTTCTTCCATACTGTGATTTATTTACAAGTGAAACGCAATATCAAGGAGCTAGTTGAGCACTTTCACTCAGGGTTGGAGGGCAAGGTGAAACATCAAATTATTTGTTAATATTAATATTTCTCCTGCCCACAAAAATTGTATTGGAACACAGAATGAACATCAGAATTGAACATCTTAAATAGTTCTTAATAATAATTCTTAATAAACTCAACAAAATGCATAATGTACAATTTAAGCTTTGTGTAGGTGACTGAAAAATATTGTGATACAAATTTGTGTTCATATCGCTCATCGGTAGTGGCAAGTGTCTGGCTCTTCTGACAAATCTGGGGAAACTCATTCACCCTCCTGCAAGTATTGCAACACACAAAAGTCACTTTCTATTCATGAGTGTGTCATGGCTCTGGAGTTCCACTTATACAAATGTCACCACAAAGTTTGCAATCCCCTGGGCAGGTTTACAAGCGCTGCCAGGAAAACAATAGGCCCATACATATACATAAGTTCATTTCTCCTCTCACTGATGATTGGAGTCCAATGGGCGCGTTTACTTTCAAAGGCTATCAGGCTGTGTCACATTTCCCAGAGTTGCTGACTTCACCTGCCAGTTTATGCATGTGCTGTTTGTTGTTTATCCAGCACATTTCTCTCCCCTTTCTCTGCCGCGTGTGAGGTTATACCGGTGAGCATGAGACAGTTTTTGGCAGTGAATCAAAACTGATCAAAGTACTGAGTTATTAGATTTATCGTTGTGGAATACCGATTCACTTAAGCAAATTCATTTAACTCAGGCTAAACTGCTCAGTGATGGAATTTATATGTCACTTTAATGCCAAGTGAAATGTCATTTTTTTACACATATTTCATCACTGAGATTATTTAGCTTGACAGGAAATTAATGAGGTAGGGCTAGCCTCCCCCGGTATTTAGTACAATCTTCTTTATCTGAAGACGACAGACATCAACAGTGTGAAGTGATTCTGTCAGAAGAGGCGAGGCACTGCAGTGTTTGCAGCATAGTATAATCATGCATTGTCGCAATTACAAATACATGTGGTGTAGTAGTCAGTCACAAAGAGACTAGGTAATTCCTTGACGATGTGTTAACACTTTAAGACCGGTGCAAAAACTGTTTGTATATTCCATTTTATCTGCTCTTTTCCATTAATAACATGATTTCTGAATGCTGTTGTTGCGTTTCTTTGAAATTAAAAGAAAGTGATCTAACAAAGCTGAAAATAATACAATTTCAGAAGAAAACAGTTTCAACAAGAAGTCACATTAAAAGGCATGTAAGTCACACATCAGTCACACTTCATCTTTACTCTGACTAAACAAAACAGTAATAAGCACTGAATTCTTTTCTGAATGAGCTCAGTGCATCCATGAAGAAAGGAACCCTCTTGCATCTTTTATATAGTGATAGAAAACGTTGTAGCACACAGAATGCTTCAGTGATTTATAACATTTATAAAATGATGAAATTATGTGAAATTGTTACATTTGAGAATGTCAAAATGCCTTATGATGAGGAAGAGCAAAAAATGTAAGTGTGAAGGTGGTGGATCCTGATACAGTGTCAGCAGACTGTGTGTTACTGTAAACAAGGCACAATCTGCTCCACCATATTGAATGTTTTATAGGCCTGGTAAACATATCGCTCTCTTGCTTTAAACAAGCAGCTCAGCACTGCATACATTACACGTGACTTAGTCTCCAGGGCTCCTGATATAACTGCCAATCCACTGACCTTTTAGCAGGATCCTATTGATAGGAATCAGAACAGAGAAAATGGTCAAAATTACACCAAAGTGCCTTCTCTTGAGGAGCATTTTCCAAGAGCTGTGCTAAGAAATGAGATTGATTTTACACTAGTCTGCTGAAGTCAGCCTCAGAGAGCTTCACACCTGAATGGAGTTGGTAAAATAGTTGATATCTTTGCTGAATCTGGTAAATCTTGGACTAATCCCCGCAAGAAGCGTCCAGGTGTGGCAAGACCAAAATCAAATGTTTTAGCAGAGCAACCTCTGTTCCCTCAAACCTACACAGGAAAGCATGCACACACGTGAGCACAAACATGCTACTTTCCTTGCCTTCTCAATCGATCTCTTCCATCAATTTAAAGGATGCTGAAGTCACCATCGATCTTGCCGCAGTACTCTCACTCCAGCTCGCCTGTGCCTCGGACTCAGCTTTGGCAGCCCTATTGAGCCCATGGGTTTATTAGCACCCCCCATTCCCCCCAGTGGAGGGGAGAGAGAGAGAGAGAGAGAGAGACCGCAAATCGGTGAAAAGCCTTCCTGCACGTCATTGAAAGGCAACAACTAGCAAGTAATATCAATGAATCTCTGTGAAACTCCTTTGTAAGAAAGCAGACGGCATGTTCTGCTATCAGCAATGATCACATCCATCAAACCGTTGCCATGGCGCACTCTGTGGTTGAGATGACGGCACACATGGTTCCTCTGACTTGCAGAAGAAGTGATATTTCACGCAGCATGAAAAGGTGTAACGTATCAAAATGCACTGATAACATTTCCAAAGAGCAGCATGATGAAAATTTTCACAGCTAGCATGTTTTACACTTTAATTAATTAGACAAGGTTTAAATGAGTACCAAAGTGCTCTGCATATAAGACAATGGCATACAAAGCAAGATAATAGTCAATCAGCCCAGACAAAGTTTGCTTCTTAGTTTTGCTCCGCAAGTAAAAGTACAATGTAGCAAACAGTGGCCACTATTTAGCATTTTTACAACTGGAAACTGTGATAGCAGCCACCATGAAGCCTGAATTTGTCCATTTTTATGGATAACAGTATGTCATAATCACTTTAATGGACACTCTATTCAAAATAAAGAAGTTAACCCACACTACATCTGTTGTGAACATGCTTACTCGCCTCATACAGCTGTGTCACAGTAAGCGTGACAGAGAGATTTTCTGGTTTAAAGATTAGGAAAACCGTCTTCTGATGATGTGTCTTGAAAAGTGGGAGGACCTTTTGAAAAACCTTTTTTTTTCTTTAGGCTGGCTGATGTGGAAAGGAGCTAGATAGCTAAAGGAAGCCAAATATCACATCTGTATTTATTAGCCTCTACATCTGTGGCTACGAAATTTGTGTAAGGCATACTATGTTTTGAGAGAACAGTGAACAAAAAGGATACAAAATTGTGAATTCTGTGCAACTGTTGATGCTGAGAGAGGCAGTGCTGTACTACAGGACACTGCATAACATGAACATTACATATTAAATGCTAGTTTTAGATTAAATGCCCATTTAAGCAGGTGTCAGAAGCTACACATGAACATCTGTTTGAGCTAAACTTAGCAACTCGGTTTGAGGCAAGTGTACTCGGTTTGAGGCAAGTGGTTTAGGCCTGCAGTTTGCATGGTGCTAATGGGTGTGAAAGCCCTTACATTACTGGTGGCTAAATTAGCCTTTTAACCTCAGTACAAAACAGGAAAGAAAACTGTGATCACCATACCTGATCAACTACATTTGGGAACAGTTGTGTTATTTTGATTTTTGGCAAAACCATCAGTAACAATCATCAACAATGGCATCTTTGCATAAAAACATAGCCCCGCAGCCACCTAATTGGTCATAAAATGGGATGTAATATAACCATGGCCAGAAAGCTTTCTGCAAAGCAATAGAAGTGGAACCACAAACCGCACGAAATTAGATTAATTCTTGACCTTATGTGTAGCGCATGGTTTACCGATCTGTCACAGGCACACAGTTACAGTGGTGTCTAACTGCATTGGAAGCCCTGGGTTTCCTTTCAGACACGTCTCAGCATACGAAGAAGTTGATAATTAGCCGAGGTGTGGAATCAGGTTTGTTAAAGAAAGGAACACTTACCTGTGCACTGGGGGGGTTTCACACTGCATACTGAAGGTGATGGGCTGTAGCTTTGAGTTGTGTCATAGATAACATGCTGCTTCAACAGCAGTGTTTCTAGCCAAAGGTTTACTTCATTTCTGACGTCTTCCCTCCATCCCTCTGGTAGAGAATTAATGCCACATACAGTACTGTGCAAAAGTCAGAGACCACCCATCATTTGTTTTATTTCCATTCAGAAAAGTTATTCATTTTTAGCTTCAGGACCAATGCAGAAAATACAGTATATTTTAGTTAATGAATTTATTTTATTAGTGTAAGTATATTTAACAAAACTACACAGAAGCCTCAACAACTAAATTTGATATCAGTTTTTGGAATTTAAGGAGTGCACCATTTGCCTTTATTACAGCTTCCAGTCTTTTCAGGAGACTTGCTTTGAGTTTTTCAAAGAAATCTGCAGAGATATTTTTCCACACCTCTAAAGTTTAGTCTTAGAAGTTTGTTGCATTTTCTGTTTCTAATGATCCAAGAAATCCTAAACACATTCAGTGATGTTGAGGTCTGGGCTCTGGGGTGGTGAGTTCATTGTTCTGACAACACCAGCAGCTTCTTTGTTTGATTTGCAAACAGTTTCCTGACGCCTACAAGTCTTTCAAATCCACAGTGCTGAGCTGTCTTCTCAAAGTGGAAGGATGGACAGAAACACCTGTGGATTTGTTTCAAATCTGAAACAAGAGTGGAGCTTCATTTTCTCCTCTCTCTCCTGTGGCAGTCTACCAGGTCTTCCATGGTTGTTAAGAGTCACATTTCCTGTTCTTTAAGTAATTGTTGGAGTTCCAGTTTTGGAGAATTTATTATCTTATTTTCCTTTGACTTTCCCCCGGGTCTCCTGAAAATGAAAAACTTGTACTTATGTCCATTTTTACTGGAAATTAAATAAATGAAGGGTGGTCTCTGACTTTTGCACAGTTTGCCTGTTCTCCCAACCTGTCAGACGAACACGACCTGATTGATTGTCTCATCTCTCATTTCTGAGCAGATGAACACATTTCAGTAGAGTTTGCTCTAATGAGTTGACACAAGGCGAGACGTCCTCTATAATCCACGCAGGCAGCGAAGTAATGATGTGCTAGCTGGCTGTAGATGAAAAGCACATCTCATTTGCTTCTGAATCTACCTGCTTTTTTGCCAATGAGAGAGGTCCTTTTGATTATCACATCTGGTGCCTCTGAGTTCCCCTGGAGGTGAGTGGTGCTGCGGTAATTAAAAAAAAAAGAAAGAAGGAATCACTTTGCTCTTGTGGTTTGACTTTCTCTTTCTCTCTCTGTCTCTGAGAGACTGAACTCTGCAAAGGCTTTTGATATGGAAGCTCTTACGTTGCTCTCAAAGGAGAAGTTGAACAGAAGTTTCCAGAGTGGTCTGCGCTGGGCATGTAGATCAAATAGCCCAGGTATTAAACTCCTTGCCCTGAAGCAATAAAGCTGGTCCACCCATTTAAGCTAGTCACCCATGCTTAGTGTTGTTGCAGTAGAGAGGGAGGGAGTGTAGGGGGAAGAAAGTTCACTTGCCTTCCTATCTGACACCAGTTTTTTTCCACTCCTCTGCTCCTTCCCAATCGCCCCTCTCTCTCTCTCTTTCTTTGTGGACGGTACAAACTGGCCCCTGCGTCCCCCTGCCACAGTTGAGCAGATTGTGTCTGTATTCCACGCTGCTTCCAAACAAAAGGCATGGGACCATTTCTCCAAAGCCCAACGCAAGAACCTGGACATGTGGCGCAAGCAAGCAGAGGTTGGTGTTTTCATTTTTGCTTTGTTCTGTATGAAGTAAATATGTTTACACCTCATATCTTTACCAGTCATTATACCTTGTACACTGATCCATTAGCCCTCTCTGCCTCCCCTCACCCCCCCCCTTCAGTCTCGCACATGTTGAGTGGAGTCCATATGCTCTCTCCTAAGTCGAACATTAATTAGCTCTTAAGCAGGGATATTGGAGACAGTCTGAGCTCTCTCCACTGTAGCGGAGCTGTAGCCGTAATCGCCAGAGAGTGCGTGATCTCCCAGCAGCCCAGAACCCCTTAGCAGGTAACACACCTGAGTGAGCACTCACCGAGTATGCATCGGCCCAGTCCCTTCTCATCACAGGTTTACCATAGAGAGCCCTGGGGCTCTACTCCAGATCAATGTAGTCGGAACAAACTTCCTCACTTACTCCCTGCTAGTGCTGGGCTTTCTTACTAGAGAAAGATTTTCTTCTTTTCTCTTGTTTAGTTTTGAAGCCAGTTGAGTCACTGGGACACAGGAATAGACTTCATATTAAATAATGAGCTCCAGCAGCATTTTTTTTTTCTTGTATGCGTGGGGAGGCTGATGAAGAGTAACACTGTTGTGATTTTCTGGTCATTCGGTAAGTGTCGAGACCTATCTCTGGGCGCCAGTGAGTGAAGACCAAATCTGGTGTGTAATTAACATCTTAATCTTTTTTTTCATGCTGCGACAAAGCAGCATTTTACATGGATCACAGGGCTGATACTGATTTACTTCTAATAATCCAAACCTTAATCCGAAAGAGCTTGGAAGGGTCCTATTTTGCTAGTAATGAATATGGAACCAACAGGAACTGTTCTTATTTCAGAAATTCTGCTCCTTTTATCATGTAATCTCCTTAGCTGTTAATGGTTACTGTATTTGGAACAAGGGTAACAGTGTAGGTATTCCAAGAATAAATGTTAAATCAAGAGACTGATCATCATGAAAGGTAGGTGTTGAAAAATGTGAGTTTCATTGTATTGTATGGATTTGCTGTTTAACTTCGTTTTTATTGAATATAGTTGGTTTAAATGTGTTACTCTTGTTTTTTTTCTTAAGCTGAAATTATCCTTGGTACATATGATAATAAAAGTTCATATACCTTCCCTCATGTATGCCCATAATGCTCAGGATGTCTCCAGCAGTCTTCACAGTAAGCCCTTCTGCAGCATAGGCCAAGCCATCATTTCAGCCTGCTCTCCCACTGTATTACACAGCCCAAACCAGTGAGCTGTCATCACTCTTAACTGCATTTCCATTGTAACGCAGCGAATAGAGCATCTGCTGACCTTAGTAGTCTCCAGCTATCAGTGCAGTTCCTGGAACACTTTTCTCTCGCTGGAACACACATTTCTCCCGCTCTGCTATACAGTGAACTCATTGATGAGGGAGTAATTGCATCCTGATTGAGGCTGACTGTAGTCAGTCCAGGGAGCAAGCCCATGATTTATGATTTTTTTTTATGTTCCCTATAAGGCTGGGAATTTGCTGTTTGAATATCTCCATTTTTCAAAGGACAGTATGATAATATCCCAACAAGAATGTTTGCATATTATTGTCATGAATAAAAAAATAATAAAAAAAAAACAAACATTTGTTTACTGTGTGCATCTTGCATACTAGGTGATCCATTTGGCTGATTTAATGATTTAACATACTATCAGTAGACCTACAGAATAATAACATGGAATGTTTTGTTGTAAAATGGTTTATTGTGGAAAAAATTACTGACTCAGAATGATTTTTAGTGGTGGTGAAAGGTCACAACCTCTACAACACAATTTTTTTTACTAACCAAAAGGACCAGTGACTCTACATGTGTTGGCTTTTTCATGTAATGTTGATGATGGTAAAATAGTTGTAAATCTGGAAAAAAAAATAGGTAGGGAACCTGTTGGGAACTTAAGAGGGCATCTTGCAGTAGTGCATGTGTACCACATTTTAGCCTTTTTCTTTTCTCTCTTGACTCAGCAGTGCTACTTCTTTTAATTTGAACAAAATCTTGAACAGTGCAAATGCTTAAGGGATAAATTTGAAACCTGTAAATTTAAATTTTACAACTGTCAAAACCTTAGGAGCTATAATTTAAACTTCTAAAACTCAATTTAGAATTATGATATTTTTTTTATTATTCCACTTCTTGCTTACATATTTCCCCAAAGAGATTTTAAGCAGCTCATTTAAGGTAAAGTGAAAAAGTTCTCTCAAGATGTTTTATGCAAGTGACCACTTGTTCCTCTCACTGCTGCTGTGAACAATTCTGACTTGGTAAGTTTCTCCAGAGTTTCGTTTCACGTCTAACCACTCTGAATGACTTTGTTTACATCTTAATAATGTAATTATGCAGACATTTTGAGAATTCGATGGAGGAAACTACTATTGTATTACTATATCTTAATTTTACATTAAGTATTTCCTGCTTACAGTTACACTTAAATGATGCCTGTCTGCTTAATGTGAAACTCAGTTTCAGCTTTTTGTGACCTGATGTTCTCTATGGTTCTGTTTTTTTGCCTTGTGCATATATATGACACAGTAAAGAGATACTAAGATGAGTCTAGTTATGCTGGTTATCTGTATATTCAAATAATCATGTCTATTTCCACGTCATAACATCCTGTACTTTGGTTTGGTATTTGTATTTAGAATGTAATGAGTGCGCTGCTTTAGTTTATTAGTTTATTTATTTATTCAGTCTCTCTTTCTCAATAGTACAGTATGTAACACCTCCCCCCATGTACGCACATTATGAAATGTCTTGAAGGCAACCTCTAGCTACTCTTGAAAGCTCGCTATAATGATGCACAACTGTAGGAAATGTTGGGATTTTCACCCTGGGGAGGCTTTTAAATGTCCCACTTTTCCCAAAATTGTGCTTTTGGAAGTGCTCCATCAGCAGCCTTGCCCACCCATGTGTTTATGTGTAGAGCTTTTAGTAGGAGCTCCTGTCTGCAGCAGGGTGATGGTGGATGGCAGGTGTAATGACAGTTCGCCGTGTGCTCTCCTTTTCCATCACCTTCATGAATGCTTGGACTGAGCTGCTCTTAGTCATTCTGAAGGTAAGCAGCTATTTTCTGAACCACTGCCAACCACCATCAGCGGCCGGATGCTGGAGCTGGAGGATTTACCTCCTCGTCTCTCTGAGCGCCCCCTGCAGGTTAGATTGTCTGCGCATTGTGTGAGCAAGGCTTTGGTAAGTTGTCCAGTCAATGTAAGCGTTTGGAGCGCCATGCTGATTGTTTTTCTGAGTGCTGTGGCAGGTAGCTGTGTGCGATTGGCCAGTCGAGCTGAATTGAATGGCAGCTGTGTGGCTGCTTGAGCACAGGATTGAACAGGAGGCTAAAGCCACGGTCTTACAGAGCAGACTTCAAAAGAAAACTGCGGCCTCCCTACAGCACACCAGATTATAGCTCTCCTCTCTATTCAATCTGTTTCTCTTCACACACTTTTCTCTCTTCACTTTCTCTCTCGCTCTCCCGTTTTCTCTCTTTCTCTATTACCAGTCTCTGTCCTGTCCTGTCTGTCATTGTCTGTCTTTACTGTCTCTTTATTTTTGTCTGTCTAATCTCTCTTTATTCCTCTTCCTCACTCTGTTTTCAAATCTTTTTTCACTGTTTCTCTTCTCTCTCTCCCTTCCTCACTTTCTGCATTTTTTCTTCTTCTCTCTCTCTATCTCTGTCTCTGTTTCAGTCTGTCTCGCTCTTCTTTATTGTCTTTCTTTACTGTATCTGTCTCTCATCACTCTCTCCTTTTCTCCATCGCTCTTCTTTCTCTCTCTTTCTTCCTCTCTTACTCGCTCTCCCTCTTTCCCTACCTCTTCTTATCTCTTTCTCTCTCACTGTCTGCTCTAACTGTCTCTCTCTGCCTCTTCACTTTGCCTCTGTATAGTCTCTCTCTCTCTGGGCAGATGGGTGTGTTTATTTTTTGCACTACCTGTTCGACCCCTGTAATTCTCCATGAGATCATGTGTTGCAGTGCTGGACAGATGGTGGTGTTTATGCTCAGCTTTTTGTTTGTTTGTTGGGGGGTGAGTTTTTGTCCCCATAGCAGCTTTTCTCTGTGCGTGCGCGTGTGCGCATTTGTGTCCTCCTCGATGCACATGCCTCATTAGCTGCTGAGCTCCCCCGTTAGGTCGGCCAGCAGGCAGCACCCATGCAGAGACATCTGCTCCGAGTGTCCCTTCTCACCCCAGCGGATCTGCACCGGCCGCAGGCCCCCCCACAGGCCCCATTCAAGCACTGATGCCAGCCATTATAGCGTATAAAAGGCTCTCACTGCAGCGTGTGCCCACTGACCATCTGAAACGACAAGGTCAGCCAACACGAAGCCTCTCTGTGCATCGCTGTGGCTGGCTCGGTTCCGTCTACACTTAGAGCACTAGAGGGAGACTTTTAATGAGCTTACTGACTAGTCAGCATGCTTTATTACATTTCCAGTCCATATACTTCATGTATTAATGAAAGTCTGGGAAAGGTGTCTCAGTAGCCTCAGAGGTTAAATCACTCTTCTCTGTCCTGTAGGAGATCAGGAACATCCATAATGAGGAGCTGATGGGCATCCGCAGGGAGGAAGAGATGGAGATGTCCGATGATGACATGGAGGACGCACTGGAGAGCAAAGACTCAGACGACTCAGGTAACTGTAATCCTCCAACACACTGCCCACTTCCCAGCATGGTTCAGCAATGAAGTGCAGCGCCCATATCCCTACAACAGTGCTTATAAGTCCTGGCTTCCCACTGCCCTGCTCAATTTAGTGTTTTCATTGAAGGAGATACCTTCCAGAGTGAAGCATTGTCACATTTAATAGGCTTAGAAATGAGAAGTGAGAACTGAGTTCTTTTTTTGATTTGTCTTGTTGCTCCAACCACCTCAATAGCTAATTATATAATGTGTCAAAGTAAACATGGTAATCTGGAATCAGCTTATGTGCTCAATATAAATAGAATGAATAGGATGAGCTCTGATTTTAGATGGGTGTTATTCATAAGTTTGGGGCCATGTCATTCAAGTATTTGATACAAAATGTGAAATATCTGTACCACAAGAAGTTCACCTCCTGAACAGCATTCTTAGTACAACGGCTGTCCGGTGCAGTAACTTAACTAATGTAGGAAGTAGCACTGTTCTTTTTAAGGATGATCTGTCCATCTGAGTTTTCGCTAGGAATTTTTGGTGCCGATCACGGTGTCCTGGAATCAATGGGCCTTGTTTACCAACCTTTCTTAAGAAGAAATTTCTTCTTAAAACCCACTTATGCAGTTTTCACGAAGATTCTGACATTCACTAATGATTTCTTATTTGGGATTTGTTCTTAGGTAAGAGCAGACTCTACATACACTCAAGAGCACAAAGTTCAGTTCTGCGGTTTAAGAACACGTCATGAATCCGATGTAGACTTTTTCTTAGGATCTTACTCAAGAACAAATTTAAGAAAAAATTGAAAATATTGGTGAATGAGACCCTTTGAGTTTGCCAGAAAATATGTAAAATCTCATGGTGTGATAAGGTAGTCTAAACGTTACCTATCACATATTCTCCAACAGACTAAAACACTCTTTTCTGACAAAATCACATTGTTGTTATATGGCTGCTGATAACATTTTATTTTCTGTGTCTTGGCTGCTGCAAAATTGAAGTTCCTCGGTAGCTTGAGAAGCATTTTAGTTTTAACCTGACAGACTCCTCTTTTCTCCTTGCACTCTTGAAGTCTCTCTTAAACTGTAACACTGTGGCTTGAATGGCAGAGATAAGAGCATTTGTCAGCCCACATTTCTGTGCAACTTCAAATGTCTTTGTTGAGCATTTGTAATGTTATTATCATTTAAAAGTTTATGTAGGCAATATTTGAGTGTATCTGTTATCTATTTGAAAACAGGAATACAAGCTGATGTGTTGTGACTTTTACCAGCCCAGCATAGCTGTTGTTCAGATGTATTGTTGATAAAGAGCAAAATAAGTTAAAGCTAAGTTAAAATAATAAACTTAACATGAGATTTATCCACATTAAATGTGTCAGCATGCAGGCCAGCAGAGTAGACGAACAGTCTCTTCCTCTTACACAGAACAGCAGGGGAAAGCATCAAAGGTTTTTATTCACTTAAAACTTTAAATGTATGGATTTTGTGTTTAGTGGGATTTAACTTTTTTTTGCTGTAATAAAGAGTTTCAATACTAGCATTCACCGGTACACAGAAACCCTGATATGCATTTTCTCTTAATAGTTTAACTAATATATGCAGCTAGGCTTTATGTCTTTTATGTCTTCTATGTTGTTATGCCTGTCTTATAATTGCCCTGCAGGAATAATTCATGTTTAATTAGTTGAATGAGATGATAAAGACTGATTGGAACAAATTTTCTTATGGCATCCACTGAGCTGTTTGCTGAATAGCATTTGCAGACCAATTAGTCCAATTACAGTACTGCAGCAGTCCAGATATTTTGTTCTGGGTCAAGATCCTGCAGCACCCTGCTGACTATCAGTCATTTGTCTGTGGAATCTTGCTGCGGCAGTTTACAGAAGCACCATGCCCTTTACATACCAGAACAGATAAGATGGTAACAAGTAATTAGATCATTGAGAACCTCCCACCACTCTGATTACATAGTGCTGTAAAATTAGCAAAAGAAAACAACATCTAGTTTATTTCACGCTTCAGAAATCATGCTTAAACAAATGCACTGTTATAGGGCCCTCTTCACTTACTGTCTAGTTTGGACCACATAACTAGTATTCTGTTACGCTACCATCAGGCAAATCCCTCTGGAGGATTAAGAAATTTCATAGATGGACTATCCTCTGCAAGGCTTTGAAGCGTTTACCTACATTTGCCACTGCACTGCACAGCCAAGCCAACAGGTGTCAAGGCCCCCTGGAAAACACCTGCCCACACCAACACTGAAAACGAATGTGAATGAAGCCGCTCGGGCAGGTGAGAGGTCAGAGTTTTTAAAAGGTTACAGCAGGGGCAATGATTGGTGAGCCTTTTCACTTCTCTGCTGTCAATATGTCCCCCTGTCAGTGGCATTGCTGGCAGGGGAGCCATTAGACCCCAAGCACAAGACATCAAATCTAAGAGCTGGCAGCTGATTCCATCATGATCCAAAGCCATTAGTCTTTTTTATACTCCTATAACCCCCTCTGGCAGGCTGAACATGGCAGCACACGGCTCAGAATGGCCCTGCCAGCTGCTCGTTCAGCTCGTTCGGGTTTGTTCTGCTTGTCGCTGAAGTGTCATTAGAGCCTGTTCTGCTCAGGAGCTGCTTAGCACACTAAGAGTCACTGGGAGGATACTGGGAAAATCACCACCGTGGCTTGTCGGTTTATTTTTGCCCTGTTGATATTTGCAGCCCACGCTTTGACGCACACCCACTCTCCGTGGCAGGTATGAAAGGTTGGTCCACCCCACACTGCGGCTTCAGATACATATGGAACTATCACAGATTCCCAGATGTGACAGGTACACATTAGCATGCAGATGTATGCAAATGTAATCATACATTTACCAGGTTTTGATTCCCACTCCTTTTCATGCATGACCTTGGTTATTAGAAAACAATGATAGCGATCACTGTCAGTGTGTTGTCAGATGTTTGAAAGGATGCTGTGAGAGGGAAAAGGGCATGCTATCCACTTGGCTGATGGGGGGATTAATTCAACACCCTCCTCATTTATGAAAACAAATATTTCACACCTGCCAGTTACCAGTACAAGCTCTGGAACGAAGGAGAGATCCTTGAACTCCTCTCTGTCCATCTCTGCTAAATGAGTTTGAACCAACCTAATCATCATCTCTCATAGTTGCAGACAGCCTGATTTAGATATCACTCAGGCCTTCCTCAGCGCTGACTGTTTCCCCACCAAACTAATCAGTGCTAACGAGCGAGTAGAGCAAAACCTGCACAACTCCATATAGCAGCCTGCCGTGCTTCAGGAGGTGAACTGCATACTTGGGCTGGGAACTTTAGGAGGCAAAGCAATAAATAAATTGTCTCATTCTCCCTTTCTTTCTTTCTTTCTTTCTTTCTCTCTCTCTCTCTCTCTCTCTCTCTCTCTCTCTTAGCCAACTTTTTAGCAGGACAGGCAAAGCCTAGCAATTTGAAAGTTCTTCAGGATTGTGTCTGAAGGGTTGGATGCAAATGTTTTAAAATTAAGAATTTCATAAGAAATGAATTTGATTGTCACCAGAGGACTCCTAATCTGGTTTCTTTTGAGGAAAAAAAATTGTGTTGATCACAGTCTTCCAGTGTCTACCAGTGACTGATTTGGTTTATTGTTTAATTGGTGAACTACAACTTGAAATTTTCATTTTGATGAGCATTTCTTGTCCAAATTAGTTTTTTTCCAGTAATGCATCACCTTTGTTAAGTTTAAATTAAATTAAATTTATGTAGACAATATTCAAGCATAGCTATTGCCTATTAACTGTTTGAAAGAGGCTCTGATTCCCTGATTTCTCAGTTATTTCCCCCATCAGTCAAACAGCCTCCAGTTTATACTAGTGCAATGCTGCTGCTACAGCTTACATCATAGCTGTCTGATATTTGATCATGAGTCTGTATTGCACAGTATAACAAGAATACTTCATTTTGTACTCCCTCTAGCTTGAAACCACCAGCATACAACACAAGGCAAGTGTCAAAACACAGACACAAAAAGTAAGTTTACTAAGCAGCGCCTCATGATGCACACCTTTGGTGTAAAAGGCTTCATTGATTTACACAGGAGTGTATTGTGCACGGCACAGCACGTTAGGTGGTGTGGTTACCTCATCCAGTGTAAAATGGACTTTAGCCTATAATTTGGTTTTATTCTGGATACTAGATTCAGAATTGAATGATCTCATGATATTTTAAACAAAATTTGATGTAAAAGAATGATTAATGTTGTTGCACATGTTCAGGCAATGTTATAACATTAGATGGCTTAATTAATAAGCAGCTGATATCGCCTGTCTCCATGATGCACGTTGTTTTTGCATTGCAGTGTACAGTGTACACTGTATTGTTATACCCCTGGCTCCAGGTAATGGTGTAACCCACAACAGTGCTGGACTGCCCCAAATCCCTTCCAGTCTCGCCCCTTATCTCCACCCCATGGGCCCTACTGAGCTGCTCTAATACTGCAGTGCTCCCCCTGCTCCACCTCCAGTCTGAAAGACAGATCAGATCTGTTCCTCCAGCCAGGATGGACGGGATGTTTTCCCCTGGCTGTCCGCCCTCAGATCAGACTGATTGCTGAACGCTCACTGAATGGAAACGACCTTACCGCAGCCATTTAATTACAGCTGTGTAATACCACTGCCTATGTCGCATTAAGTCAAGCGTTAAGTAATACACATTCTCTCCATTTAATCCTCTCTAATTAGCTCGTGATTGCAGCCCAGCCACAGAAGAATGACGCACTTTGGTTTGAGCCCAGATAAAGCCTTTTAGAAGCACTCTCATCTTTCTCTTCCACTCTTCATCCTCCCTCCTCTTCCTCTCCTCTCTCAGTCCATTCACTCTTTTAGCTCTGCTGCCCACACCTCACCATCACCGTCACTTACTCCCCGCTGTACACACACACTCCTCACATGACTACTATGTTTTTCTTTCATTCCTCTTCCTGAGTCACTCTGCAGCCCTGCATTTTCTCTTTGTCTCCTCTCTGCTCAAGTACCTACTTCATCTATTGTTTTTCATCCTGCCTTTTCTAGCCCTCACGTTCTGTCATCTTGTGTCCTTGTTTGCATCCCAGTCTTATTCCCCCTCTCTGTCCTCGTCTCTCTTCCTCCCTCCCTCACTCCTTTGATTCTCCTATTTTTACTCACTCAGTCCCATCTTCACTCAGCCTGTATCTGTCTCTCTCTGTCTCTACACCATTTTACTGTGTAAGATCTTACCCAATCTCTCTCTCATTCGCTTACTTGTTCTCTCCTTTTCTTTGTCATTATCCCTTCCTTTTCTCTTTATTTCTCTATCTCTCTACCTCTCCCTCCCCCCAGTTCCCCCAGCTTGGATGGATGGGTTGGTTTTCTAAGACTGTCTGCCTCTTAGAATCATGCATACCACCCCATGTTTTATCTTTTACCAGCGCTTGAAACCAGTTCAAAGAATTGGAAACAAGATGTGTTTTGCTAAGAACAAAAACGAAACTGAAAGTATTGTCATCCTTAACTGTTCCATGAGAAGTTATATCGCAGTAGTTATTGTTATCGGTTTATCGCCCAGCCCTAACTTCAATTGTGCCACATATTTCTTTCACTTCTATTCAGTCAAACAGAGTCAGTATACACAGACTTTGTTCGACACAGCAGTTGTTGATGGAACAAAACTGAAATCTGTGCAATTTATTTGGATTTCTTTGGATCAAAACAGTTTCATTGAAATGTACTTTCATTATTGTTTGTCTTTTTCACATAAACCATTTAGTTAAAGACAACACATATCGATATATTTCCAGTTTGTAAGTCAAACAGGCCACTTGGTTAATATGAGTATATTAAGTATACTGTGCAGCAACTCTTCAGGAGTTTACAGTCAGTGGCTAAAGGAAGTTGCTAGCTCTGGTGTACCCGATATTATTTATGCTATTTATGCTCTGAGCTATATGCTAGCTATGTTGAAACGTATTACAGAACACGTCTTTATCAGTACAAACACAACTGCTGCATCTAATAGCAACATACTAGTGAATTACTTTAGGCCTGCAGACAGCACTGGAATGTAATGAACTTCTTTTAATTTAGTTCTATCCAGTTTAGGAATGTCAGGGTTGAAACGTAAGAATGGAAACGTTCAAATATTTATTCTGCTCTGAGTGGCCTGATTTATTTTTTGTTTATGACTCCTGCCCTCTGTAGGCTTAGCTTGCCTGTCCCTCTCTGTCTCTTAGGGCCGATGGCTCAGGTAGAGGCTCTGAGGGAGGAGAATGATAGTCTGAGGTGTCAACTGGATGCATACAGGAATGAGGTGGAGCTGCTGAAGCAGGAGCAGAGTAAAACCCAGCCACAGCGCTCTGAGGAGGACAACACACGCCAGCAACAACTCAACTTCCTCCAACAGGCCTTACAGGGCATGCAAAAGGTTGGTCAGAATTGTTTGTAATCAATATTTTGTTTATTACTGACATTTCACAGGATTTACTGATTTCCAAGAGCAAGATAAAATCATCATCAGTGAGGAAATAAGTGAAAATAAATTAATTAATGCATAAAAATAATGTACTCATCATACTACTCCTTGGCTTTAAATAAATAAAGAAAAAGAAAAGCCTCGTACAGTAGTATAGTATTACACAGCAATAAGGTAGTAAACAAAGGACCATTCACTCTGGGAGGTTCACAAGAAAGGTTGCCATATTTTGTAATATTTACTGATAGATCTACATATTTTATTTTTTCACCACTACTTTGCCATTACTCTTTGTATCAAACGACAATAGCCTTCATAATGAATGCAGAAATATGCTGCTAGTTAAAGCAGCACTCTCACATGCACAGCACGGCCACGATTCTTGTAATATTCATAGTTATATCATTCACTCAAAAAGGGAAGGTATAACCCCATGTTTCAGATGTCCAAGTGCAGGAAATAATATCTTTTTGAAAACTTAAGTGTTTAAATGTTGTCAATAGGCAACAGGCTAGTAAAAGTCATAGCAAGATAGTAGGGCTGGGCGATATGACAGTATATGTCATTATTGTAATAAATTATGTCAAAATACCATTTAATATTCTTTTTTGAACGTATTATACATACCGTCAGTACTTGTAGAACACTGACCAACTGTATGTATTATTATAAAGAAAAAAAATATATTGTGATATATTGTGATATATTGTGTATAGTGAGAATTACTTAAAGTATTGCAATATTAGATTTTTGCCGTATCACCCACCTCTGCAAGATATCTTATATTCCCTCTTTCAAACAGATAAGTGCTATGCTCAAATTTTATCCACATAATTAGTTTTGATCAATTACGAACAATTTGTACAGATCTGAATCCCAGTAAATGCATTTGCACATATTCCACATAAAGCACAGACTACACTCTCAGCTTTGCCAGTGCTTCGGTTTAAAACTGCCTTAAGGCGTGCCGGAGGAAAAAGTGGATTTTTGTAAAAGATTAATTTCAAACAGACAAAATAAAATGTTGTTTTGACAGCAAAATGTTTTTATTTTAGGATGTTGACGAATGTGCAGTAGGTAATGTTTAGATTATCACATCAATAGCCATATTTAGTCGTATGCAAATGTTTTGGCAGCCATGGTCAAAAGATGTTTTGTTGATTTTCTTAGTGAAAATTGCTGAATTTAACAAAAAATTAAAAATTTAAAAAAAAAAAACATAAAATATTGTCTGTGCAAAAGTAGTGGCTCATTTTCTTTTAAAGTTCAATTTTTTTCCAGTATGCTCAGCAAAAAATAGAAATTGTGCTCTAAAATTTGAAAAAAAAAATGTTTTTTAAACATAAAAACATTTTATTTTATGTTTTTTAACATGTTTTTAAACTTAAAAATATTTAAGTTTGTTCCCTGCAGAGGTTGTATTGGCTTATTTTCACTTAAAATCAGCAAACATACAATTAGACCAGACATACAACTGTATAATCAGAATTTTAGTAATTTGTCCAGCAAACAAAATCATTCCTGGGCACTGTGGTGCCCCCCCTATACATATGTAATATACTTTATGCTTATGCATGCTGTATTTACAAGAGCAACACAGCACTCTTACACAGGTGGATATACATGCACACAAAACATCATGACTCGTCATGACTCATGACACATGCTTAAGCTATTGTTGTTTCCACAGTTTGTATATCTCTGTATGGGCAGAATAGACACCGACAGGATGGTTATGTATGTAAACATAAACGTGGCTGCTAGAAAACAGACTGGACAGACTGAAGACAAACAAAAAATGTTGTTTTACATTAGAACACGCAAACATACACAAACACCCGTGCATGCCACAAGAACATAATGTAGCCTCTTGAGCGTGACTCAATACACCACATCGTCACACATGTGCAGGAGGTACTGGTGATTCGACATTAAGACAGACCTGCTCCCACACGCACGTCTGGTCGTCCTGCCCATCTCCAGATGGATAGATTGTTGTTTTGAGTGGTGCAATATGAAAGAGTACTGTAGAGGATAAACATACCAGCTTCTTTTTGAGGACGTCATCCATTACAGCCCAACGTATACAAGCATGGATGGAAAGAGAAAAGAAAATCTCTGCTTGAGTACTCCTACTGTTGCGATCATTTATATTTATTGAAAAGCTTCTCCAGAGTTGCTTTAGGTTAGTAATAAAGTGATTTTGTTTGTTTGAAAGTGAGCATATTGTCCAGGATTACACCAAAGCTCTTGTCTTGGGAGGAAAGGGTACTGAGCAGCTGTCAATACATAAATTAAAGCTGCACACTTCAGATAGTGTGGACTCTAGTGTTGGAGATAAAAGGCAAATTAGAAATGGGCCTACAGTTATTAAGATCAATGGAGTCCAAACCAATTTTTTCAAGAATAGGTTAGACTGCGGCAATTTTCAGTGATGGGGGTACAAAATTAGAGGTAAGGGATGAGTTAATTATTGCTGTTGTCAAGGGGGAAATAGAGGCCAAACAAGCATTAACTAAACTAGTAGGAAGTGGATCAAGCTGACAGGTGGAAGCCTTATATTCTGAATAAGCTGAGATACATGATTTTCAGGCCCAGATTTAAAAACGGAGAGGTGTAGGTGTCAAACCCATCCAAGCTAAATCACCAAAAACAACAGCAGCTGAGGTAAGAAATTAAAAAAATAGCAGTAGTTTCGTTCAGTAGAGTGACGAAAAGCATCAATATCAGGTGGCTTGAATAAAGCATTGACTATAGCAAAAAAGACATCCTATTTCTTTCTCTGGCAGTAATAATAGACGCAAAATATGAGGTTTTACCAGAAACAAGACAGTGCTTGTAATGCAATATATGCTCTGAGCACATCTGTTTATGGATCATAAGACCAGTCATTGAAGTGAGTCACTCTAATTGGTGGCCCATAGTTTTTAACTAGCAAAGCTCGTGGGCCTACCATGGTGCAGTATGAATGAAAGAAACCTTTCAAGTTTTCATAGAAGCTCACGTGTTGAGTACAGTGGACAGATGATCTTGGTGATGCTCTACCAAGGCAGCAGGAGAAATATAACAGGCTAGGCTGGGAAAGGAGTCAATCTGCCTGGTTAGTTCACTTTGATTGATACGTTTGACATTGTGAAATGTGGTAGTTCACTGTACCTTTGACTTATTTAAGGAACAGGAGCATCAAAAAACACAATTTTATGGTCAAAAACAGGGAACTTCAAATTATTTGTTGTAATCCCAAAGCAGCAGACCAAGTCCAGAATGTGGCTTGGTTTATGAGTTAGGAAATTAACAAACTGATTGAGGTTAAAACCTAGAATGGAGTTAAAACTACTAAATTCACTGGTACAGTCAACCATATGGATATTACAATTTCTGATTAAACAATATTGGGGAACATATCACAGAGAGAAGTTAATAAGGACTCAAACTCAGAGGAAAGCATTATATAGTTCTGGCTTTGTATAGTAACAATGAGTGTGGGATCATTGCCGCAAAGTTGCCAGCGATTCAAAGGAAGATTGGTCCGGGAATGTGACTGGCATGACTTTGATGTTGTCACGATGAATCATTGCCATACCACCCCCTCGACCTGAAGATCAAGGTTTACTAATGTACGCATAGCCATGTGGCTCTGCTTGATTTAGTTGGAAAAAAGTCATTAGGCTGTTGCTAGGTCTTAGTAAGACACAGTCAAAAATCAATATTTTGTTTGTTCATGAGTTCATAAACAGCCCAGTGTCCACTGAACACACTCCTCCTCCTCACTATACCAGAAACATATAGATTGTGAACATTCGAAAACACTGTCCTTTTTGACTCAGATTAAAATGCATGCTAAGTTTGATGCCAACCACCCAGTCAGCTATCTAGTCCTACTCCTTTATTATGAGCTTTTTTTCCTTTCTTCCCGGAGGGGATTGGAGCTATTTTCAGCGTGAGCTCCAGCCTGGAGCATCTCTCCTGCATGGTTCCGCTGAGTTCTCAGCCTGACCCCTAGCTAGGAGGCGTGCTTCTGGGTGCATTTTTACTGAATCTGTTCACTCAGTGTGGCTTCTCTGAATTGAAGAAGAAAGGAGGCCAGCCTGGCTCACTGCTCTGTGAAAACACAGTGAGAGAATCACACATGTGACACTGTTCCAGATCCACAGCTTGTATGTGTGAATTCAGCACCACATTCACAAATACATATATCCACGTGCAGACGAAAACACCCGAATGTACACATCAACACTGGTTTTAATACAATGCCACCACATAAGGTCATACTCGTTTCCCTACATTACAGAAATTTTGGGCCTGAGAAATATATGAATACGAACACACAGAAACATACAGTCACACACAGTCATACACTTCTGCCTGTGAGCAGTGTGAAGCAGGGATGGGCTGAGTGTGATTCGATGTGAGGCAAAACTTGGCCTCCTTCAGAACGTAAATGTTGTGGTTCTTAATGAGCACTAATGTGCTGTTAGAGGAGGTGCAGCATCCGCTGTAATCTACACAGCTCTGCCGACGCTGGTTTACGTGCGAGCACCTCTATTTCACCGTAATTTTGGCCTCAGCCATGCAGATGCTGAGTAAAAGTAGTTTCTCAGTGTTGAATTCCAAAACATGTTTAAAGCTTTAACCTGCGACTGCTGTTATTTGTTCATGAACACTATGGCTTAAATTTTCTTAACAATAAAAATGCTGACCTGAAATATACAGTACATTGCCACCTTAGTCTTCTTTCACCCTTAGTCTGTAGAGGTATTACTATTATTTTTGCTGTTCTTTATATAACTGTGATTACATAAATTACATGTTTGTAATGTGCAGACCACATTTACTTTCAGTTTACATTCCTTATCAACAGGTTTGAGCTTGCGCTTCTGAACCTTTACAGTGGACAATTCAGTTATAATGTCTGATTGGCTCAGGCATGATTGGAGCCATTATGAAATACTTGCTGTAAAACCGAGCTTTTTCTGTTTACAGTGGACAATTTCAGTTGTCTAAAATCTGACTGGCTGAACTATGTTCAAAGCCAGTGTAAAATACTCCGCGTACGCACTCCTGTGACCACCTCACAACAATTGAATTCTGTATTAATGCTCCACTGTGTTGTTCACATGGACCAGTAAATGTACTGATATATGGGACCGTACATCAACGTATATGTGAACTAAGTTGCCCAAAACAGTACAAAAGATGTGGTGTGTAAAAACTTTTTAAGTTATTTTCTTAAGAACTAAAACTAGGCTGATCAGCTCAGCAGACAGCTAACAGGCTAAGAGGCTCCTCTATTAATATTTAGAGTTAGGCCTTAAAATAAAGGATTCAATGCAAAATAGTAACATACGAAGAGCATATGTTACATGAAAGTTTGAAATGCCCATGTTTTTGGCAAATGTGCTGTAAGTAGTTTTAAACCAAGTGTGGGTAAATTTATGTGTGGCACATTTAGCTTGACACTAGCTTAACACAGAAAGTCTCAAAGCTGAAAATGATCAGTGAAAATTAGCGTTATCATTATGGTGGTAATTTGATAAGAAATAGCTACATATAAGGCGAAGGTGTAACACTGATATTCTAAGAAATGTTAATGAATATAGTAAAAAAAATGTAAAAAATTAATGAAATGACATCACCATACAATAATGGGTGACAAATTTTGTTCAGGAGGCCTTAGTTGCTTGGCAATGATAGCCTATTTGAAACTAACTACATTTCTTGATGGAAGAATTGTTTTCTGTTAATATTATTATTATTATTATTATTATTATTAATAGTAAATCAAATTATTAACCTAATATTTGTGTATTTTATTAAATTGTATATTGTCATTGATTTATAAAACCGATAAGCCTCTTGAGGCAGTGCCTTACAGTTATTTTATCACGTGTAAGGGTTTCGTTATGAACGGCAACAAAACTGAGTGCCTTATTGCTTTAATGTATGCGTATATGACCTCACATAATTGAATTCAGTATTAATATGCCATGTTACCAAGTGGCTTGGTAATTGTGGCCTACTGTTAATGAACTCTATTCTTTGGCAGAAGGATTGTTTATTGTTATCAAAAATTAATTCAGTTATTTATTGATGATTGATGTATTTTGTCATATTTTGTCTGGGATAAAATCACTATATTGCCCAGCTTCTAATGGCTTATTCCATTTTATATAAAACAAATGTTTTGGTTCTAAAATCTGATTGGCAGGGCCTTCAGATATTGTAAAGACATAAATATATTATTGCCGTTAAGGAACAGGTTTTGGTCTGGCCACACCACTCTGGAAGCTACGTGACTTCTTTAAACAAAACCACTTGGCCACACATGACTGTATAGCTTACACAGTATCAGTTATATATTCGACTGAACTCCATCAGCACAAGCATGCACATGCATATATATTGTGCATGAAGCACAATGCACAAACAAAACATACATATATATGCACACACAGTACAGTTACTAATTGACAGAGGATTCGTCAGTATGTGTCCTCAAACAGGTTTTCCCCACTGCCTGTGATAAAGTTGCTGTATATGGGGCTCTGCTGTATTTAATCAGAGCACCACCTGAGCTGCTCCACAGAAACAAACATCCCCAAGGCATAGAATCTATTTACCTGACATTGGCTGAAAAATACAGACTGTCCAAATATTACCTCCCTAATGGCAGAGTACCGGTGCTGTCTTGCCCCTGGGGGTCAGCACACGTCTGTCACAGCAGATGCATACCACCAGGATAGCTTCACAGACCGGAGGTCATCAGAGGCTGGAAAAATATGTCACACATACAGAGAATACACTTACCTGGACCTGCCAAAGGGTGTAGATGTACTTGTCTGTGCATGCAATGCACGAAGCATCTCTACAGACATACTTAGTGTTTCATGAACCAGTTAAAAGCATGCTCAATATTTATGATTCAAATTTGTCAGCACTGAATTACTTATGTTGAATGAGTTTTTGGGGGCCGTCGGGGTTTGAGGCGTGCGGAATGGTTTGTGTTTCTGTGAATAGGATTTGCACAATATGAACAAACTACCACAAGTATATCTGCATATTGCTATTGCAATATGAGTTTCAATATATTGAAGAAACTTTGCTTCTTTAGTGCTGGAGCTACAAAGCTACTGTTGCTACAGCAAGCATGTCACGTAGCATCCATATGCCTGTGTAATGGGCATGCATGTGAAGGGGAGTTAGATTATACAAAGGAGTCAGAATCTTTTGTTAAATCATGTGAGTACCTTGGTTAATATCAGAACACCCACAGGAACTAATCTCATGTGTCTGTAATTGCTCATAGCACACAACAAAACATTCACTGACTGGTTAGAGGATCATTTCCATATTGCCGTGTTCTGCAATGTCAGTATTCCAAAGGCCAACATCGCGATAACAATTCCTATCAATAATCCATGCAGCAGACGTGTTTGTGTCAAAATCAAAATTAAAAGAACCTTCTTCTCGTCCCATTCACCTGTACATTAGAATTAAATAACATTTCCTCCAAAGCCTTAGTGCAACATACAGAGACAGAGCTAGTGTTTACAGAAGCACAGTGTGTTTCTGTAAGCAGAGTAAATGTCTGATCTCACGACTCAACCCAATTATTATTCTCTAGGAAGCCGCTGAGTGCATCACTACAATTATGATTATGCTAGTGCAGTTAAGAATTGTAATGACACTATATGTAGTGATTCCAGTTAAGTGGAATTTGTTTTTGTTTTGTTTTTTTTTTTCTTGAATTTGTGTGTTTTTAACATTATTTTGGCCAGGAAAAAATGAGTTCATACTGTTGATCTAAATTTCCACTTTTCAGAAATTGGTGTAGTTGAATCAGCACCTTCAGATTGCTGCATGTATTGACAAATGAACACATTTTCCTAGTTTGATCCTTGAGGCTATCTGTAGTAGTTCAGGCTGAAGCCCAGCTGCTCACATACTGTGTGTGTCTATGACCGGATCCCTGACTGTAGCCCTCTTGCTTAAAATGCAGATTTTATATAGTATTTAAACTGATACCTTCTGTACTTTTAATGAGACTTCGCTGGACAGTGCAGCAGCATACCTATTGATAAATCAGCAAGCATCAAACTAACAAAAGCAACAGCAAAGTGGAAAGGTGCAGTTCCCCTCGAGAGCCTCCACAATGACAAGAATCCATGAACTGTATGAACAAGTGCGAGAATAGGAGGGTACAATCACAAAGGTGTTGAACTATTAACTGTACATGATATAAATGACATTCTCCCATGCAGCCACTGTTGCTCTCACTGGATGTCGGAGATAAAAACAGGGCACTGTGTTCACTCTATGGAAATCATGTGATTTTCTTGTTCAGGCTCAGGTTCAACCCTGCGTTCACAAGTCAAATTTGAGAAAATAAGACAAATGTAATTACTTCCAATTAATTACAGTTAATAAAATATGATTCATTATTTTAATTGTTTGACAGCCCCACTATCAATGCATTTGACACACTGTGTGTGTGTGTGCGCACACATGTGCATGTGTAAATGTTTGTGTAATTTGGACTTTCTGTTAATTTCTGCAGCAACTGCTGAAGATCCGCGAGGAGCTGAAACAGAAAGAGGCAGAGCTGGAAAAGAGCACAGATGAGAAACAGCAGCTGGAGAGTCAAATCCAGAGCCTTAAGGAAAGAATACAAGCCTTCCCTGCATCACACACTCTTCCTGTGAGTAACATGCGCACACACACACACACATACACACACACACATACACATATAAACACACAAAGAGTACATATAGAACCTCTCCTCATATAAACCATCTCTCACACACTGCTCTGGGAGATGTTGTCTATCACTGTCTAAGCCTAAGGCTGCAGTAAAAATCACCAAGTTCTTTTTTCTCGTGATGCTGTCCATACTGTGCGTGTTTAGTCTGGTGAAGAGAAGGAAGGATGAAGAGGATGAAGGCTGTCAGTTTGAGGACACTGTATTAATGAGTCTGGTCTACCAAAGATGTTCAGGGGATTTGAGGTGAAGTGAGAATATTCAGGTGCACAAAGTTCAAAGAGAATGTCCCTGCTCCAGATTCAGTTTAGAGATCACACATCAGGCTTCCCTGCTTGCTAGCATAGGGCCACATTCTTTAGATACTTTAGGTGCTTTTTTAAAATTTACCACTAAACAAATTCCTTCGCTCTTCTTTAGCCTTTAGAGGTGTAGAGTTGTAATTGTCATTTTTGCTATACAGAGTTAAGGCACTTGTGTTTCTAGCAAAGTGCACAAATATATAGTAGTGGCTAATGTACCATAAAAGAGGTAGTTATACACAAGTTCTTTTTACAGTTGTGCTTTTTTGTTAAATATATAAATTCAGAAGATTTGTGAAATTGAACTGTTACAGATTTGTAATGGCTGTGCCTAAGAAACAATATTGAATGTGGGTCATTCACATGTGACTGATCTCTTTAATAAGGCTAGTATCAGTGCCAGTATATTGGACTGGTACATCACTAGTAATCACATGATTAAATTATTAATTACAAAGTTAAGTATATATTACTTATTAAATGACATTACATATATTTTTAATTTAACATTACTGACAGATTCATCTCTACTTTTGCATATTTTTCTGTTTTCATTGTATATCATCATGAGGCTGGTTGCACCAGCTGTATGTAAGTTCAAACGAAGGCTGGTTATAACACCAGCATTCTTTACAAAATCAAAACAGGTTGCACCATACAAACTAGTTTTTATGTAGTTACTAACACAAAATATAGCACAAAGATGCAAAGATGATCAAAAGATGATATGACTATAAAAGGCTAATTGCTAAAATATATATATAATTTTTTTTTTTTAAGTTTCAAGTGTCAGCCAACATCCAAAGCTCCCATTCATTGAGACCGTCATTAACATTTTATTCAATTCAGTGTTGAAAACAGACTTGTACAGCTCACTCTCTTTCTTACTGGATCCACAGAATGCAAAAATACAGTGCTGATGTCTCTGGCCCAGTCCGATTTTTTTAATTTTTAGCCCTACCCCTTGTTTTCAAGTGTCTCCTTGTCCCTGGGAACTGAGTTACAAGGGGTAGTCGTCAAAATCTTCTCCCACGAAATGGGACAACCCATTTAAACCTTTTCTTCATTTACAGGCTACTAGCAGTGCTCTGTAAATGACCCTGTCAGCCTGCAGTGATAGCAGAGGAGGGTAAAGTTCAGCAACCTCGCTTCTGGGCTCTAGTTACATTTAGGAAATCATATGCCTTCAAAGAGGGGGAAATGCGACAGGTATTTATCGGTGATATGATATGAAGCTAAAGACAGCTATAAGCTAGCTTCTTGTTTGAATTTTCCCATTCCACCTTAAATGGTCATCAGTACTGCTGCACCATTTAAGGTGGAACAGGAAATTTAGCTAGCTAGCTACCAAGACATCAGCATACTGATGCTTTTTATAAAGAAAAGGAGCATAATACATTAAAATAACAAAAAACTAAGAAACAGTGGTTATCTTAGTTTTTTCACTGAGAAAATTCTTCTTTGGTCGCTTGTGCAGCCATCTTGCTGTTTTTTCTTTTTTTCAGATAACACTGTTTGGAGTGTGCCTCTGAGAAACCTATTTTTTGCCTTGTAGCCCTAACATTTCACCCTACCCCTCTATCTCAACAACAGTCGTGACACACTACCCCTAGGCGTAAACATGCAAAACAGAAGGGTGAGGGCTGGGTGGTAGGGTCGAGGGGATTGGGCCTGTGTTTTCACAGTAGCGTGTTTATTGATTGTTTCTGAACGTCATGTTAAAACAACAGTATTTAGCGTTTGCTATTAGTTGGTTGTTGCTAGTTAAGATGTGACCATAAGGATTTGAGGTGCAACCAGATTTCATAAAATGATAGTTTGAAACTGGTGTTAACTAAGTACATAGTGAAGACTTACTTTTCTCACAAACTTAAGTACAAACTTGGGCAAAACTGGTGCAGCCCAGACCAGTTTAGAATGAAGCTCAGGACAAATCTTCCTGCTTTCAGATGAGTTCTGAACTTCTCCTAGTGAAGGGTCACAGCCTTTTGAGATGCTTCATTTTACCACTGCATAATTTCCTTCTCTGCTCCTCAGCCTATTCTGATTCATAGAGAAAGAGAGGAGATGGCACTGAGCCTAAGCGTCTGTTAGCAGAGCTGGTGCGAATGCAAGCCGAGTGTTTCAGATGTTAGGAGTGAATGAGACTGAATGTGCCCTATGCCTCTGAAAGGGCGCTGTGTGTGCGTGTGCGTGTGCGTGTGCGTGTGTGTGCGTGTGTGTGCGTGAGCGCACCCACAGCTTCTGCATTAATGTAAACTAATAGCACCTCTGCAGCATGCGGTGGTCACCACAAGCCACTTCCGGTTTGCTCCATTTCTTCCACTGCTGTGCACAAACACATCTCTCATCAGGGACTGGCTCATGACTGGTTTGCTTATAGGACAGTTTTTACTGGACCAAAAATGGAAGCCAAAGGTTTAGACACACCTAATTGCCTCATTAAATGTATGCTTTGTATGTATGTATGAGTTTTTTTTTAATTATCATGGAAGTTTATAAAATTGAATAGTAAATAAGACTTTTTAATAAACGATTATCTTCTCTCTAGTGCTAAATTTAAGAACCATGAGACGTCTAAATGTAATACTCCACCAGAGGACAGTGAAAAGCCTTTTTAATCAAAAGAAGGAAACACAGAAAGACTACTGCAGTTGCCTAAAGGTCACTGTACACCACATGAGATGCGTTCTGCCACTCAGCAGATGGTGCAAAGTGCAGCTATAGCACATAGGAAGCATTGCAGAAAAGTGCTTAGATGAAATAAGTTACACTGTAACTAGGCTTGTAACTTAGTGACTTTAGATTGGCTGCCTTTCCCTGTGTGTAATGTTCAAGTCGAATTATGTTACCTATTATGGTTTCATAGACTAGGTTTAATATAGAACAGTGATAGTAGGATGGGAGTGGCATCCACCACTACATTTCGCTGCATCCACTACTGCATCAGAAAGATGTGGGGCCACTTTGAAGAGTTTAAAACATAAGTAGTTTTGATTTATTTAACACTTTTTGGGCACTGCATAATTCTGTATATCATCGCTATCCGGAAAAAAGCCAAACGCTTATGTCCCCGTTTTTGGATTTTTTATTTTCTGCAGCATTTAAACACAGCAGCTGTCTTTTAAATTGAGTGAAAATTTCATGATAAATGGACCAATACCAAGGTTCCAAAATGACTTGAAATAAAATTACTTTGCTATTTTACTATTGTCTTCCATTAAAAGTTAAGAATGTCTTTGCCTTCTCTTGTTAAGCTACCATTTTTGTTTTTTGTTTGTTTTTTTTTTGTTTTTTTTAGACAACAAAATTTTTGTCACAGTTTTGATGTCTTCACTTTATGAAAAGTAGTCAAAACAAGTAAACTCTTCTGTGAGTGGGTGTCCAAACTTTTGACTTGCTCTGGACAGGTGAGATATTGAATCAAATGCAAACTCAGATTTAATAGCACCAACACATGCCACGCAGTGTTTGCTTTTTATCTTGCGTGGACAGATTTGATTAAGTCTTGGCCCCCTTCAGTGGGAAGCAGATTTTTTTGTATTAAGCTGCATTTTATCACGCTGCTCGGTTGAATCAGTTTTGACCTGCTGGCTGACTGATGGCTGATAAGGTAAAGCAGAGAGAGTGACAGAAATGCTGTGTGCTGCTTTAATGCTGATGCCTGCGATGAGATGAGATTAGTGTGAGAATCAGTGGTGCGTACTGAGCAGGAGAGGTAAGGCCATGAACACATGATACCCAGATGAATCATCTGAGACAGACTCATTAATGGAGCAAAAGGAAATCAATTTACTGCTGTTGTTTCTCCTGTAGATCTGTGGCCACTGATAGCGAGAGCTGTTCATTTTTGCATGTGCGCTGATGTTTTGTGTGTGTGTGTGTGTGTCCTGCGTGTTGTGGTTAATTATCTTCCTTATTGTCCTGTCCTTTCTCAGCACTCAGGCCACTCTTTTAGGTTAACCAACTGAAATTACATCAGCAGTCATTACACACTACAGAACATTCCATCAGCCTCCTCACCCCTTCAGCCTCGAACAATCACTAAATTTCTGTAGGTTCCTTTCGGCAGTATGAAACGGGTCGTCTGCGCTGTGAGATGACGCCATTATTTGTGTTTGATTAAAAGAGGGAACATCCTCGGGAGGCTTTTGATCCGCGGCTGCCATTTTTAGAAACCCATTTGTAAACCTGACCCTCATCACTGTGGTTAGCTCTCATTCTCTGTTGTGTACTGCAGCCTCCTCCCTCTGCTGTTAATTTCTTATTTGTGGGCATCTGCTTCTTTCCTATAGAGACTCAGGGCCAGATTTACATAGATGAGCACAACGAAAAAAGGCCTTGATTCGACCACAACATGTGCTCTCGATGCACCTGAATTTAATGTTTGATTCGCTAAGCCTGCAGCTAATCATGCAAACTGAGCATAGCACTGCCTTCTAATTGCCTGCAGAGTTTAAAAGGCACAGTGAGGTTATGTGACTATCAACAAGCTGTAGACAAAACACAAAATGAAAGTTCAATGATGAAGTGAACAGTGTTAATAAAGAAAAAAAGTTTTTTTCCCAACCAAAACATACTACACAGGGTTATTTTACTGTGGCTGAAAATTTATATTTTGAAACAATTGCATGGGTTGCGTGCACGTATTGTGGTGGCATTACGGCGTATTTGGTGATGTTTCTACTCACATATGTCTATCTGGTCCCGAGAGTTTATACAGTTTTATTCTGATGGTAAACATTCTTAAAGCACATGTTTGAAGCTCATGCCTCGTTCTAACTGGTATGGCTGCTACCATTGTTAAAGGAAGTCTCTCAGTATCATAACTAATGCAAATTCATGCCTGGTTTTAGAAAGTGGTAGAAAATCCATGCAAAATGGTCAAGTTGCTCGAACTTTAGTGAGTTGAGCAGAATATGTAATCAGCGTCACGTGTAGTATCTCCACCCGCTTTTGTGCAATTCTTCTCAAAATGCATATGTATGAGGGAGCGTTTGCGCTATACTGTGGTGCCTAAACTGCACATTCAGGCTCATGTTCCAGTTTCATACATACCACAGAGGCAGAATGCGTGCCATTTCCAAAAGTGTCTGTCTTTAGTCTTGGTACCATACACCTGTGTGTGTGTGTGTGAGCGAGTGTCTCTGGCTACTCACTGATGGTGCTTCTTGTGTTTTTAATTGCCTATAGATGGAGAGGCCAGAGCGGGATGACAGAGGCAGTGATGAAAGTGCAAATCACACCAACGTAAGTGATCTCCATCTCTGCCTGCTGTCCATACTAACACATCAGTGTCTCTCTCTCTCCCTCGCTCTCTCTCCTTCTGTCCATACAACCAGTTCCCATCATATCAGCCATTACTTCTGTCTCTCCAGCTCCCTTCCTTTCCTTCTCCATCTCTTCTGTCCTTTATTTATGCTCCCATCATCTTAGTCATTACGCCTCACTACCCGCCCACACACACACACACACACACACACACACACCATGTTTCTGTTCTCTGCTTCCTCTGCCTCTTTTTATCTCCCTGCTTCCTCTCCCTCCTTCATCTCCCTCCTTCATCTGTCTGTTTCCCCTCTCTCTCCTGGCTCTGTCTCCTTCCTCTTCCTCTTTTCTCTGCTTCCTTCATCTGCCTGTTTCCTCTCTCTCTCCTGGCTCTGCCTCCTTCCTCTCCCTGCTTCTTCCATCTTTTTCCTCTCCCATCGTCCTCTCCCTCCTTCCTCTGCCTCTTTTATCTCACTGCTTCCTCTCCCTCCTTCATCTCCCTCCTTCCTCTGCCTCTTTCATCTCCTTCCTTCCTCTCCCTGCTTCCTCTGCCTCTTTCCTCTACCTCCTCTGTCTGCCTATTTCATCTCTCTCTCTCCTGGCTCTGCCTCCTTCCTCTCCCATCTTCCACTCCCATCGTCCTCTCCAATCTTCCTTTCCCGTCCTTCCTCTCCCTGCTTCCTCTGCCTCTTTTATCTCACTGCTTCCTCTCCCTCCTTCCTCTGTCTCTTTCATCTCCTTCCTTCCTCTCCCTGCTTCCTTTGCCTCTTTCCTCTACCTTCTTCATCTGCCTGTTTCCTCTCTCTCTCGGCTCTGCCTCCTTCCTCTCTCTTCTTCCTCTTCCTCCTTCCTCCCCCATCTTCCTGTCCCTCCTTCCTCTCCCTTCTTCCTCTCCCTCTTACTGCTCCCTCCTTCCTCTCCATGCCTTCTCTTCCTCCATCCTCTCCCTCTTTCCTCTCCATGCTTCCTCTCCCTCTTTCCTCTCCATGCTTCCTCTCCCTCTTTCCTCTCTGTGCTTCCTCTTCCTCCTTCCTCTCACTCTTTCCTCTCCCTCTTTCCTCTCCATGCTTCCTCTCCCTCTTTCCTCTCCATTCTTCCTCTTCCTCCTTCCTCTCACTCTTTCCTCTTTCCTCTCCATGCTTCCTCTCCCTCTTTCCTCTCCATTCTTCCTCTTCCTCCTTCCTCTCACTCTTTCCTCTCCATGCTTCCACTGCCTCCTTCCTCTTCCTCCTTCTTCTCCCTCCTTCCTCTCCCTCCTTCCTGTGCCTTCTTTGCCCCACTTCTGGCCTCCCTCGTCTCTCAGCAGCTTCCGCCAGCAACATGACAGATCATTAGAGGGCATTGGAGCGGGGAGTGAACTTTATTTGTGGCAGGATAAATCACTCTGACACAACTGGGCGCAGGCCTGGGGAACCAGCAGAGAAGAGGAGGACGGCATGGGGAGAGGAAGAGGGCCATCCACGGGTCAGAGTGGGGCATGACCTGACCTGTCCTTTCAGTCCGGTCACCCAGCAGATGAACACACACATTCACACACTCAAGGGCCACTCCATCACTCTGTCAGAAGCAGCCCAGTGCAGCCTGAGCACCACTAATACTCTGAATGCCTGTGCTGCCTCTGTGTCCCTCACATGCTGTCCATGTCTTCCATTCTGTCTTATCTGCCTGTCTGTCTGCCTGTGTCCATATACTGCTGTGTGCTAGAGATAGACATCAGTTTTCAAGTGCATAGATATTAAAACTCAGCATTTGTTTACTTTGTTGGATACTTATATTAGGCATGTATGTAAGTGTTGTATCATCTTGCCATTTTGAATACACTTGCCTGCCCTGTAGAGAACTGTAGAGAAACCTACAGACTCTGAATTCTTTACATGTGCATATGAGACAAGGAGTGCCCGCAAAATTGCCATTACATATAAAACCCAGAAGACACGTGTAGGTTAACTGGTCACCACAGCAGGTTTCTGTACAGTACACAGTTTTGCATTGGACCATCTTGAATGGCTTTGTTTACATTGAATTGTGCAGAAAATTTTGAAAAACTGGTGAAATTCCCCTTAAGTGAATCTAAGGGAAGCTATATATGGAAATATTCAAGGAATAATATGACATATTTGTCCAGTATAAGCTGCACAAGTTCTGTAGATTCATCTGGTAATATGTTAAATCACACCTAAAATGCAAAGATAAATCAATAAATCAGCTAAATAATCAGGTACAAATCAGCTGTTTTGCCTCCTGCATGCAATAAACAGATATTAAACAATATTAAGTAATATTAAGTAGTCTCATTGTGATGTGTGTGATTTTTATTGTGATATTTAAATATTATTTATTTAAAAAGACATGTATTAAAACAGAAATAAAATGGTAAACCCCTTAGACCTCCTTAAGTCCAGGGGTCCAGACCTCCCTTCTACACTCTTACAACAACACTATAACTTACATATTAGTTTAATTGTGATTACTGAGTAATTCACAGCAGTTACTGCATAATAAACATTAGGATGAACAGCAGAATGATAAGGGGTTAAAATGTCTGTCCGTAGCCAGTTCATGTTTGTGTAGTGCAGCATACTGCACTGCTCTGTCTGACGCTAGCTGTGTTTTTCTCTGGCTGTAGGATGTAGCAGCAGTGTCGGCGGTGGTTTCCTGTAGTCAGGAGAAGGAGAGCCTGCCGGAGAAGGGTCCTCCCAGCCCCGTCAAGTCAGAAAGAGAGGCCCTGCTCGTGGGTATGTGTGTGCGTAGAGCTTTCTGAGTGCCTGTGATGCGTCTCTTCTTTTTCCTGCTTTATCAAATCAGCCAGAAGACGATATTAAAAAATCTCCTCATTATCCCCGTCATACACAGCTCTCTGTTACTGCATGTGTGTTAATTGCCTGGCCAAATGAGTTTCTTCATCACGTCTGAAGGTTTTAATGGCTGGGATTTTGGCTGCTTGCCCACATCACAGCCAAAGCGTATAGTGAACTGGGTGTGCGTTAGAGGTCTACAGTAGTATGAAATTGAAGCCCGAACCAGATCCCCCCGCTTTGAGACACGACCCCTGCAAAATGTGAAGCCCGAAGCCGACTCACATACATTCACATGCAATAACAGAGATAGACTGGCTCAGACGTAGATTTACAGTTTTTTGCTTTGTTGCTAAGGGCTTGAATTGATTGACAGAAAATGCCCTGCTGGAATAAACTGGTACTTCGCACATCTGTCATACACTGTTTATTATCACTATATTTTTGTAGGATTGCCAGTTATACCTGACAGAGAACAGCATCCACCCTTCTCTGATCAACTGTTAGCATGGCTTAAAGTTCTCCAGCACTGTGCCAGAATTCCAGTGCGAGGCCAGCCATTTAAATAAAAAAATAAATAATTATGTTGTAAAATACTCAATATACGCACATCCAGGACTGCCTCACAACAACTGAATTCTATATTTCTGGGCTACTTTATAAAAAATGCCCGTGCTGTTAATGGAATAATTTTTGCCTCTAACGCTGCTCGTATGGACCACCAAGTGTACTGATGAAGTAAGAACCCGTTTTTGTTTAAACTGAGAGGCTGGCAACTTATTTTCTTAACTAGAACTAGGCTGGTCAGCAAGCTAACAGGCTAAAAGATAGCTAACAGCCTAAACAACTCCATCATTAATATCATATGCTTGAATTAAAGTACTTACGGTATGACTAACTGTAAAACAGCAGCTTAAAAGACTGAAGAATGTCACTTGAATGGCTTACATGCTTCAAATGTCCATGTTTCAGTCAGATCTGCCGTAAGTAACATCAACCCCAGGCTTAATCTCAAACAGCTCCGAACTCCCTAAATAGTGTACTATGTAAGTTTTGAAAGTCTAGCTTCTACAGCCGAGTAGTGTTCTATTTGTCAAGTATGGTTGTGGTTGAATCACAAATGGCTGTTTTAAGATATATACGCACCGTTGGGGTGCAGGAGCCAGTATTTAAATTTCTATGTAAGTGTTAGTGCACTATATAGGGAGCAGGGAGCCATTTGAGATTCAGTCCCAGCGTGAGAAGAGGGGCTCCATTAGCTTGGTGCTAAATAAGGTGGTAATTGGACACACACACACATTTTTCCATTAAACAGTGCTTTGTTAAGATATGTTCGTTATTATACAATGTGTGTGTGTGTTACCCTTGTGTGTGTGTGTGTGTGCGCCCCTCAGTGTGCAGAAAGATTTTCTCTCTGTTTAATGCCTCTATTGTTCTGCAGCAGTTGCAGTATATTGTCCTTGCACTTCAACAACACTGCCCGAAAAGGTCATTGCTCAGGTTTATGTCAGAAGTGTGTGTGTGTGTGTGTGTGTGTGTGTGTGTGTGTGTTTGTCCTACTGACTGTGGTTGGACAAAGATCTAGTTGTCGTGTTGTCTCTGTTGATGAGAAATGATTATGTGCCAGTTTAGCTGGTTAAGTAACTTGCGGCCTGTTCCTGCATGTTCCTGTCTATGATGACATTCAGACAGCCAAAGCAGATATCTCTCTCTCTCTCTCTCTCCCTCCCTACCTTGCCCTCTGTTTCTCTCTCTCTCTGTCTGTCTGTCTGTGTCTCTCTTTTTCTCTGTCTATCTATCTATGTATATATGTCTGGCTCTGTCTTTTGCGCTCTGTCTGTTTTCTGTCTTCTTTTTTTTTCTTTTTGCTCTCTTTCTCTCTCTTGTTCTCTCATGCTTTCTCTCACCCGCTCTCTTCCCTTTCTCTGTTCATTCTCGTGCTCTCTCCATCAGACTCATTTTAAGTGACGTCTTGTTTGGAGATAAATTGCGGTAAGCACCACTGAGAGAAAGAGGGCCATTTCCTGCTCCCAGGCTGAACTTATTCCACATGAGGAGTCACATCTCTCTCACTCTCTCTCTCTCTCTCTCTCTCTCTCTCTCGCTCTCTCGCTCTCTCTTTATTTTCCTTTCAGTAAATGAAATAAAGATGGCCCTCCAAAGCAGAAAGCCACTGAATGCGTCTAGACTGCCTTATAGAGGACCAGGCCTTTTTCAAAGGCTTTTTATAGAAGAACGGGCAGCAGTAGACATTAACTGGACTAGAAAATGGTCAGCCGTTCCAATGCAGCAAATTCTTATGGACGTCAAATTCTTTTTGCTCCCTTCATTCAGGCGGCACTGATGGTGCTAATTGTCATTTAGCTCCACCTAAGAGGGTGTGACTGTGGATCAATGAATGTGTAAATGGAGAAGTCATGTCAGCGAAAGCACGCCGTAATGAGTAAATGTATAATGCATAGACCACGTCCACAGTCCATTATGACTAGATGGAATATTGACCATCCTGCCACTGCGTCCTTCGCTCTTGAGACATGACCCCAGTTGCCTCGTAACGTTCTTTCTACAGAGCAGTCTTGATCATCAGGGCTGCCTTAAGATCGAGCGTAAGGGCCGCTATGAGTATGTGTTATTGTTATGGTTGATATTAGCATGCACCAAGCAAACTCCACGGTCATCTGATGAAAAGCTCTGATGATTGAGAGGGGCATCAAAGCAACAATTAAACACTTCTTTTTCATTTAGCCAGCTGAAGAGGCAGAGCCAGGGGTCGACACGGCCGAACAGCTTCGAGGAGGCCACCCTCAAGCACTCTGAATCAATTTCAAATCAACAGGCAGCTGAAAGAAAAAAATAACAGCCCTTGCCGAGGTTTTATTAAGAGGCAGCTGATACTGATTTAGCTGATGGAGTTGTGTTCTCAGTTCTGTTCCAATACTTTATGCAATTTGATCTCTTTCTTGCTTTCTTTCTGCAGGAATAATCTCGACATTTCTCCATGTGCATCCATTCGGAGCCAGCATCGAATACATCTGCTCCTACTTACAACGCCTGGACACCAAGGTATTGGAATTAATCCCTTTTATTCGAACACAAGTTAAACCACTTTCATTGGGCACCCAAATGCAAGTGAGCTTTCTGTGAGATCACTAAACATATGTTCTCCAGTAAGTGCTTTGCCAGAAGTAGTCAGGTATGGCTCACTGATTCAGGTTTTTGGTAATTACTGAGGGGTGAGTAAGAGCCAATAAAAAAAAAGGAAGTTAGTAGTTTGGGATAGTGAGTCAGGCATTTCTCAGCACTACTGAACATTTGTACCAGACAGGATTAGGCTCCTGTTCATTCTACAGCTTGAACAATTAGTCATCAGGGACAGTTATTAATCAGTAAACTTGGGCAGTAATGTAAATTTAGACAAGCAAGTATCGCTTGTAAAATTATTGCAGTAAATTATATAGTCATGATCCAGATTTAGTACCACATGTGAGCATTACAGAGCCATACCCTACAGCTTGCGTTTTCCCTGACAGTAATATCATTACTATATGGTTGCCATCTGGGCTAGCTTCTATTATTACTTAAAAATCACTGGATGTAACATTATCAACATCCAGTGATTCTCTGCATTCGTTTGGATAGACCTCAAAATATTACCAAAGCACCTTACTTCTGGACACGCTCGTCCTATTTTTCTCTCTACTGGAGAGCAGATCTCATGAACTGAATTTTTGTTTCTTTTACATGTGCATTCTTTGTCAGATTCACAATCTACATTATAGTCTGTCCATGTAGTGTTCAAAGTATGTGTATGTGTAGTTATTAGTTGATAATGTTCTGTTTGTACAGCCTATAATTAAGTGCTGCTAACCAAACTAACCAAAAATTAGAATGACTGTACAAAGGGAATGGCTAAATGAAGGCAAAGAAATAAAACAAGGAAGAAGTATGGAATGTGAATGAGAACAAACGGACAATTATTTGCATTAATAATTGTCACAACGCTCTATAATGTTTATGTACATGGACATTTCTGACAGATGTGTAATGCATTACAGTACCGGAAGCATTAGGGGGCGTTATAGCTTCTGTTGTTTCATTGTACCATAAAAGTATAAACTGCTTGTCATACAGATGGAACCTTAAAAGATGGTGGAGGGAAAGGGAGAGGAACCAAGGAGGATCTAATAGTCAAATGAGTTGATTCATCAGATAGTAGTAGTCAGTAGGTTAATCGCTTATGTAAATGGGGGCTGCTGTGTGTCCCAATTGTCAGAGTTGCCCTGCCAAAAAGTTACCCTAACCCCACCTCCTCACCCAGTGAGAGGACAAACATGTTTTTATACTTAATAAAACAATCTTAAAACAACGTATTAATTTTTTTTTTTCATTTTAAAGCTGCACTATGTAAGTTAGAAGTAGCATCACTAGAAAAAACACTAAAATATAGTTTCTGTGTGCTGTGTTGAGTCAACCTATAAAGCCTTAAATAATCATATAAAAGTCAGAGGCTTAAGGTCAGATTTTGTGGTCACACGCACAGCCTCAAAAAGAATGTCCTTGCCCCCTTCCCCAAGACAAACCGCTGGGCCTCCTTAATATAAATAATTGCTAGTTGCAGCCCTACTTCATTCACTACCACTTCACTTGAAATCTGTAGGGCTGGAGACAAAGTACATGGCTTAGTGGATACACAGACACTTCACATTCTGAGTTGTTCATTGCTGATCAACCTGGCATCCACCCTGTTCCGTAGAATAAATAACCCACCCGCTAAACATATGGAGCTCCTGGAGTGGGCAGAGCCATCACGCTGCGCCAGTCCACAATTATGCATATACACACACGTACACACATAATAGATGTCATTTCCACTCTGTCTATTTTCTGTTCTCCTCCACTTCCACTCTCTGTGTAATGGCTGTCCTGCTTATTGTAATATCACCATAAAGCACTCACCTTGAGGCAGTGTGTAATGTCAGCCTGCCCTTCATAATACTCCTACCCTATCTCCTCACCCAGCCTGTGACCAGTGTAGACTAGCCTGGCAAAATATCAAAACCGCAGCTTCTTCACTCTCTTGCCCTCTTACTTCTCTCTCTCTCTTTCTGTTTCTTTTTCTCTCCCTCTTGCTGTCTGTCATATTTTGGTCCATATTTTTTTCTTCTTTTTTCTGAGATTGGAGTTTTGAGGCCCTCAGGCTGCGATTGTTCCCACAGTTCCTTCTTCACACACTCCACACACACACGTGGCCCCATATCTTCTGCAGCACATGGTTTTCAGCAGAAACCGTGCACCCCAGCAGATTGTGCTAATGAAGCCCCAACACCATTCGTATCTCCCTGGCTGCCTTCATTTCTGAGTTGGCACACAGCGATGCCTTAACTCAACAGAATCAGCTTCTTTTGTTTTTTCATCGCCAACATGTACAAGAAATTTCTCTTGATGTTGATGTATCAAGAGATATCAGTGTAAATTTCACTGAAGAAAACATATGAACACCATGTATAAATGACCTCTATAGCCTTCATTGTCTTTATTCTATTTATATCTATAAATCTTTACTCTGTAGTTGACTGCATGCCCATATTAGGACCTCTAGGTAAACGAACACATTCCAAAATCAATGTTTTGCTTTACAGACATTTTTCCTCTGAATGCCAGATTCCCTGAACTGCCAGAATTTAAGAAGCCGAAATACAAATAATGGTACTTGTGAGCTCACGCTGCGGTGCACTGAACTGACATCATAAGACTGACAGCTTCACCAAAATACCCTGTGCAAATCAGCAAGCTTTGCCAAATGTGGTAGTTAAGAGGCTTTTGCAGTAGTAGGGTACAGTTCGAGCAGCTGGTGGTGGTACATAGCCATGTTGGAGTTTAATAGCAGACTTACTTTAATGGAGCATCATTTCAGAGCAGTGTACACAGGACAAAAGGTATCAGGTTTGGAACTTTTTTTTACCACACTGCATGAGAGAGACATTTTTCATTTTTCACATAGAAAAAAAACAGCTTGTACCCAAAGTCCCTAATATGGGAAGGATGCTGATTACAGAGTGATGAAATGACTTCAGAGGTCTATGTGCAGTATTATGAATGCCTGGAGAAATAAGCTGCGCAGGTGCTGCTTCAGGACTTTTAAAGCCATAATGCGAAAAAACAGCATGAAAATGCAAAAGATTTGGATGTTTTTTTTTCATATCAAAAGTGTACGCAATGCATGCAAGAGGTATATTCATTTTTTTTGTTTATTTTTGTTTTTATTTGGCAATTTTGTACAAAAAACAGATGCAAAAAGATATTCTTTGCTCCTCACAAAATGGTAGGCAGACAGTGACACTGGATAGGCATCTCTCTGACAAAACGGTAGGTGTGAAAGACTTTTCAGTTATACACATGTTCGAATGAATTTATTGGCGTCCAGTAAATTGCTTGGATAAGTTGTGCTCAGTGTTAAAAAGCCTTCACTCTTGTTCACCGCTGACTGTTGGAGTCATATTACTGAAGCCATGTGCCTCAAAAATTGAGGAGCAAATGTACCAAAATACTCACTCGTATTGTTTTTCTTCCTCCATCCAGATCAGCACAACTGAAGTGGAGACGCTGCTGGGTCGGCTTCCCTGCACCTTCAGGCAGGAGCTGACGGGCGTTGGCGCCAGCCTGGAGAAGCGATGGAAGTTCTGTGGCTTTGAGGGCATCAAGACAGCGTAGAGACAGGCTTTTGGGCTTCGAACCCAAGGACTGACACAACCTGAGCACTTGGAAGGACAAAAAAAAAGAAAATAGTCCCACAGACAGGAGAGATCCAAGCCAAACGCCTGCCAGCATTCTTTAGCAGCTCACTAAGCCCTGGAGACGTTCATTCAACTGCAGACAGGGCCCGGCCTCTGGAGTGTGGATGCGTTACAGTGTATACACACGAGCACATGTTCATGTGAGTGAGTGTGTCTGTGCGTGCGCCTGTAAGTGCCGTGTGACTGGACTGGTCGAAGTCACCTATACACTGCAGCTGTGACTCGCCGTAGCATTGGGATTCTACTCATAGGACAGAACCAGGCTGAGAACTGGGGACAAATCCGTCAACATTGTTTTACTTTTTCTCTCATTTTAGTCCTGATTTTTCAAGAAAAAAAGAAATAAAGATGAATATATTTCTTCTTTTCTTTCTGTATAGGTTGATATCAGCTGCATATAACATTTTTTGTTGATACACTCTGTAAATGTTTGAATAACTTACTATTTTTAAATAAAAAAATGTTGAGGAAAAACAACAATGCAACATTGTGTACGATTTTAGTTGCTGATTCGGTCCCCACATTTGTACAGTACTGTGCAGAAGGCCACCCAGAGACCACCCTTTTTTTAAAATTTCCAGCCAAAGCAACCATTAAGTACAAGTCATTTCTCAGCATTGGGGAAAAAAAGAATACATGTATTTAAAAGAAAATTATACAATAGTGTGTCTGCACTTTTATTTTATTACAGCTTACGCTCCGTTCAGCAGACTTCCTTTCAGATTTTAAAAGAAATCTGCGGGGATATTTTTCCACACCTCCCAAGTTCATTCTTAGAAGTTGGTTGCATTTTCTACTCCTCACGATCCAAATACACCCAAACACTTTCAGTGATGTTGAAGTTTGGACTCATCCCATTAGACCTGACTCCACATCTCATATGTCCAGTTTTGGCTTTCCAGTGCAAATCGTCTTCGTTTTTGTCCATTTCTTTTTCTCAGTAAGAGCTGCTTAACAGCTGCACATCCTTTCAGACTCATAGTGTTGAGCTGTCTTCTCACAGTGGAAGGATGGACAGAAACACCTGTGGATGTGAGTTTTTTAGTTTGCATCTCATCTCCTCAGAAATATCTCCTGATACTTATACTTAATGTTAGTTTTGACTCCAAATTAGATTAATGAAGATTGGTCTGACTTTTGCACAGTGCTGTATGCAAATCATTGCAGTGGTTGAGATAATTATCATGATTTGTTTTTCTCTCTCTAGATGCTCTTATTTCAGTCTCTTTTATCTGACTTTCACTTGTGCACTTTTGCTCAGTCTCTCTGGCTTTCTGTGTGTAAAAAAGTGACCGTAAAAGCCCAACGCTTTCGACAGTCATCTCTGTCGCTAATCACTTCGCTGTGTAGAGAGGACCGCTGTCCTCTTTTTTTTCCTCTCCAAACTCTGACTAATGGGCCTGCTTCTCTTTCATGTGCTTCATTTCTGTGCACATATTGGGTCGTTTGTAATCGTTTTCGCTCCCCTAGCTTGCCTCACCAACCGACCCAACTGTGGTTGCAAAAGATGTTGTGTAACACAAAGTGTTTTCACACTTAGGAGGAAGGCTCCTATGAAGGCCAATTAACAAAGCAAAAGTGTCGCGTGTGTTTGTGTATTTGCTTGCTAACAGGATGCCAGTGCAACGCAAGGTGTGTCTCTGGAACCAGAACAGTCTTCCGGCAGCACAGCGAAGTGTTCCTAATTCGCCTCTGTTGTGCAATTTGAGATTTTTTTCCCCTCCCTTGTTGCTGAGGGAAACGAGGCTGATTTGTTCTCATCAGCCCCCTCTATCTCCGTAGGCCATATGTATGAAGCATTACATTCAAATGCTTGTCAGAGCTGTGGCCTCTCAGAAGTGAATTAATAAAAAGTAATGAGCATGTGTGTGTCCGCAGAGGAAGACGTTCCACATGAAAATTCCTACTGACGTGCCTTTCTGAGACAGACTCTCCACCAGGGATAGAATCTGTCTGAAGTGAGCTTGAATACGCTACATTTCAGTGGCGAACTGTGGCTATGAGAGCTAGGCCTTCAGTTCGGGCTGTAAATGTCAAAACTCGGTCAAAAACAAGCAAAATTAAACCACCTTTATGATAATGATAATGCTAATTTCTGCTAGTGCCCTTGTGGGATTCTAGTACTATGTTAGCGCTAAGCCAGTGGCGAGTCACATGAAGGTTTTTAGGCCATTCTAGATCAAACATTGACATTGTAAAAGACATTCCACTTAAACGTGTGTGTTTAACGTATATATTTAAGCAATGGAATACGAGAGGGAGTGTGTTATCGCAAAATAACATCACAGCCGTAATGTTATAGCGATAACACACAACCTCGAGTGTTCTATTGCTTTTATACAACAGTTAAATAAATAAAGTAAGAAATTAATAAACTGGGAACGTGGCATTTAATGTTTTAATGTTAGCAATTCCTTCCGCCAAATTATAGTTCCTTAAAAAGCAGCTTGTTGCTACGTCACAGTAACAAGCTCCGCTCACTCGCTGCACAGCTGGCAGTTCATTCCCTAGCTCCTAACACGAAATTCCGAAACTGTTGTTTCTTTGTTTGAAGCAGTTTTAAATGGACTCTTTCAGTAAAGAGTCCAGGCACAGGATTGCCTTTACTACCATTTCTAACATGCTACCACTTCTCAGTGACGTATTAAAGATGTCTAGAAAGCCTAGAGTGATGGTTTTCATCATAAAGTCAGTCCTACCCGTTGGAAATCTCAACAGGACTGATTTATTACAATGCCACTTCCTAATTATGTTAAGGGTTAATCAGACACATTAGGCCTCCAGTTCAGCTCCTGAAATCCTAACCAATGGGAGACCTTGCTTGGCCGTATTTACCTAGATACCACAGATGAAAAAAAATCTAAGTAGATAAATTTCAGCTGTGGAATTTTCCTTCCAAAGTTGTGCTGAAACTGCTGACAAAGTCATAAACACGTGGTCAAATTGTGTTCTGTGCTACCTTTTGACAAATTAACAAGGCGTACCGCATTCTCTGATATGACATGAAGACTAGTAGGCCAAGCTGTCATTCGTCAACCCTAGTGGAGATATGTATTGTTTACGTGGTACATTTTCCAATTGCTGCTGACCACCACTCAAAATACCAATGGAGCACTTATGAAAGGGGAACACTTATGAAAGTCTGATTTTTGTGTTCACACAGCTTTGAGAAGTCAGATCTGCATCACATTTGGGCAAAAATCAGATTTGTCCAGCTACACTCTTGCAATACGAAGGTATCAGGAGGAGAGCAGAGGAGATAATGAACCCTCAGAGCGTTTTCCCTAAAGCAGCCCCAAATGCCGGAGTGTTTGGAGCAGAGCTGTGGTTTTTGTAGCTATGACTTTTCTCTGAGTTTTATGTGCAAAGTGTTGAGTTACTATTGCTCCCTGAGCTCGACGTGCGGAAAGCTTTATCAGTTTGAGTTTTCCCACTGCCCCACACGATAATCAGCCCTCTGTGCTTCTCTAAAGGTCTGTGCTTATAGTATCCTATTAACCACACCTTAGTACAGGCCGGAGGAAGTGGGATGTAGCCTCTTGAGGGATCCAGAGGAGCGTGCTGATTCCTAAACCAAAAGGACGCAGAGCAACCGCGACGCATTAGCTGAGTGAAAAATGAGAGAAGACAAATATTTTGCTTTTTTCCCCCTCTTTCTCTGCTCTATTTTTAGGAGAGTGCAACCGCTCCATCAGAGCACTGTAGCAAGAAGAGGCACTGCACAGATTTAGCAAGAGTCCCGTCTCAGTCGTCCTGCTGCATTTGACAGATGATGATGTTCTTCCAAAACTATTCCGGCTGGATCAGTTATACGTAGGGAGGTGCTGTAATTTAAGTGATTACCAACGGAACCGTGACTTTAATCCAGTACAAATCTGCAACGTGTTTACAAGTCTGACAAGTAATCATTCCTTAATTACCTTCTGTAATTTGCTGGACCCGGAGCTTACTCAGTAATTATAGCCCTATCTGAATTGACCTCACGATACTGTAATAACAACACCTGGCCTACATTAAGATTCTGAAAAAGAAAGTCACTCCCAAACTTGCTTTAGTCACTCGGCCTTGGAGAAAACTCTGCTGCCATCTTGAAGGACATTTCAGTTCTGAAGAGTCATCTTAAGTTTCTAATGACCCCTCAAACACTTGATTTGACTCAAGGTTAGTCTGCAAAGTTGTAGAGTACATATTGTAGATGTCATACAGTGCCACACCATGAGATGTGTTTCGATTTTTCGGCACAGCCCAGTGGTGAACAGCTATCCCCAGAGCTAACGGCAAATGAAGCAAACATTGGTGACCAACTAAACTAAACTTCAACCCTTAGCTTACCCCAATAAGAGAGTAGTCCGCTAGTTCGCCAAGTCTAGCACAAACCGTTAAGATGAAGGACTGTCCTGACTCCATACTCCGTATTCGAGTACGTTCTTAACTCACAATGCTCCATGTGTACATGTGTATAACACAGAGTTCAGGAGGTTGGAAGGTTAAGTCACCATAAAAAAGCTACAGAATCAGGGCTGCTAATCTAATCAAGCATGCTCCGTGTCGTTATTGTCGTTGCGTGTCGCACCTCCCGCATGTATTGCTGAGGTGTACGTCTGGGCTGTCTGTGGTAATTTGGGGAAATCACTCAAAGTTTATCTTGTTTGATTCAGCCAATCAAATCCCTCACAAGTTACATTTACATAACCTCCTCTGGGAAAACCAATGCAGCTCCAATAGTGCTTGAGAGACATTGAGTCCGACTGTAACTGCCTAGTTTGTGCTGTTGTGCTTCCTCAGCCGCAAGTTCCAAGTGATTCCGAGAACCGTGTTTTAGTGAGAAGCCTTTTTCTTTTCTGAGCGTCACAAAGACGTAAACACGTACTAATTAGATCTCCCTGTGGTCCCCTTGAGATGTGTTTTCCATTTGGTGTTGTGCACTCAGTTCAGCACCGCTGAGACTCCCTCATTAATTCAGTGCCTGTGCGGAGCCGGGCGAGAGCTATTCGAGGATGTGTGATTCGCATTGTCCGCTGGAGCCGTGATTTAATTTCTGCCGTGGAGCCACTCCAAGAGTTTGGGCGAGTGTCCTTGAGCCTGTGGCCTTGTTTTGCCTAAGACGTCCTAAAGAGCGCCTCAACAGGCGTTGGCCAAGAGGAAAAGGGCAGCCATGTCACGCCAGTAACACCCCGGAGTCTCTCACTCACAGCCCCAAATCCTTCACACGGCGTCCCCATCATGTTCTCTGAAGTAATTGGATATGGAGCGACAGCTTAACTAGATGTATCTCTTTTTTTCAGGCCGTAATCTTGATGCTCGAGGCGTTTCTAATTATCTCGTGTTTACCTGACGTCCTCTAGTCTGAGTAGATCTGGACAATTATGAAGAGTGCCTTCCCCTGAGTGAAAAGAGAGACTAGTGATTGGATAATAACTGGCTGGGTGTGTGTGTGTGTGTGCGCGCG